GACTGTAAACCACATTGGACTGCAGAGGTAATTAAAAACCTGGAATTGTTCTTGGAAAGAAGTGAAATTTAGTACAACTTGGTCAGTGATGGAAATGATACTCGTATGACTTTTAGCAATGGTTTCAACCTTTTGTGGGTTGCTACAACATTTCTAATGAAGCTCCTCTTTAAAACACCTCATAAATTAGTTGTAGATGTGAACTGCCACTTTACCTTTCTCTGGGATCATCAAAACCCCATGACATGTTAGTCAGATGATGAATTTTAAAAATGATGCTACACTAACCTTTGATAGCCTAAATTTTATACAATCTAAAATGTTAGACTGCTTTATTTTTTTGTTTCAGAAAGACTTGGAGAGCTAGTGTGTATAAAGTGAAATGGAAGCTAGGGAATGGTAGCCATGATGTTCCTACTATTGTTAGGTTAAATCACAAGAAAAATCAGGAATATGAGCATAAGTGAGGACTTCTCACTCATGCTTTGGCAGAAATCAGTTATGAATTTTTATTGTAAAAGACGCAAATAAAGCTTATAGTGAATCCATGTTTGAGCCCTCAATTAGGATTTCAGCTTGTAAGGGAACATGATTGCTGGCTGACTCACCAGCTACATCTCCTGCATGTGTCATTGTCTGAGTTGGATTAATTTGTTCTACACATATTAGAATGCTATTAACTTGGAGCAGGAAGGAGACTGGATCTGTGGAATGCTATAAAACTGGCTTGAAACCACATATACATTTTCAGACCCAATTATGTCAGACTTCTTTTTGTATGTAGTATGGAGATTGCTTCCTGTATTCTGGAAGTTCCAATTTCTTTCTCTTTTCATGAAGAGAAGAAATCATTGAAACAAATGATACATACAGTAGTGTTTGTGTGGGGCTTGCAGTTATTTTTACTTTGTCATGTGGTTAGAATAATTGAGACAGTATTTCAAGATACCTGTAATCTTGTGGGTTAATCAAGATATCAAGATATAATTGTTTGATACAAATGTTCCTCAGGGAAATGCAGGAAAAAGGTAGTAAGCAAATTCAACATGTACAGTGAAATACCTTTTTAAAAGAAATCTAAATAGACCTTTTTCAAAAAAACAGATTTTGTCTGGCAAATGCAAATACAAGGAGTGCTATCATAATTAGGCTTTCTGAAAGGTGATGCACATTACCTGAGTATTCTCAGGGAAAGAGGCTTATACATTTGTGTGTAATGTGGAATGTTGCAGTCTACCTTTAGCTGGCCTTACTTAAAATATTTCATATGCAGCCTCATTGCAGTGTTCCTTTGAGTAATTTGGAAAACTAAATGCAGTATTGTATTCCTCTTGGCAATAAAGCCCTGTAATCATCAGCTAATTAAGGATACTAAACATAAAGTTGAGATACTGAATTTTATATATTTTAGTTGGCATATATATATACACCACATATCATGCTTCTCTGTTTAGTATCAATGTGAACATTTATTATCTTTGCAGTATTTTAGAGGATATAGCAGACAGGTCTGTGTCTTGCCTGATTGACTTATCAGGTGGCTGAGAGTTGCTGGTAGTTCTGTTTTCCCAGTGGAAACTGTGTAAAAGTACAGAGTCTTTGGTAATTAAGTCTTGTGCCCCCCCCCCATCGTTTTAAAGATCAAAGTGTACAATTTCAAAATTCACACCTTTCTTTAGGAGGGATCTGCATGACCTTAGGCAGGCATAAGCCAATGAATAGTTCCTGTGCTCTGGGTTCCTTGGCAAGCTGGGAGCAGTGTAGCTGTTAATAGGATTGGGAGCCTGAGTGAGTGCCTGCTTTGGAATTGGGAGATTTCCCTGCTCAGTTCCCTGTAACCTCCTGCACAGGGTAAGGAAGATGTGCCCCTGCCTGCTTGTCTCCAGATCTAGCCATAGCTCCCTTCCTTCAAGGGAAGGAATTGGTGTCCCAAGAGTGGGCTGGAAGTGGCATTTTTGTTCAAAATCTAGGATAAATTGGCAGGTTCTTGAGTGATCCCCCTCCAGAGAAAACGCACATTTTTACAATTGGTTGATTCTATTTTTGATCACACATCAATAATAATTAGTAATAGCTTGAGCATCCTGATGGTGTTCTTGGTTTGGCATACATCCCAGCCAATGTAGGTTACCTTTGTACTCTTTAGAGCTAACTTGGATTTCAGCATCCAAAGAATGCTGGGAATAAGAAGGAAACCAATTCTCTTTGCAGAGTTGAAAAAGTGGCTGAGGTGAGTTGGGCAAAGAATGCTGTTCAGTGGGGACTCCCTGGTCAGCTGAGCGGGGATGGAGAGCTTGCCTAGGTCTGGGAGGTGCTGGGACTCAGGAGTGGTCTGGGTCGAGCTCTGTGTGTGTCAATGGTTTCAGATAGCTGGCTAGAAGTAGTTCTCTGATACATTCTGATGCACCTCTCAGCTGCCCTGAGGAGCAGTGTTGTTAGGCACGTTGTTTTGACTGACTTAACTGCTGCCTTGCATGGTGTTCTTGGCTGTATATTTTTTATATTCTTCACACAATTGGCTTCTTAACACTTTTGAGTTAATTTTAATGCCCAGTGATGTGTTAGCAAATGAGTGCTAGCAAGATTCTTGATTTCTGTCCCTACACCACCCCTGCTTCAGTTGTCTTACTGTACAGTATAAGCCTCATCATTTATAGGCCAGATTGACCTTGAATTTTGTTTTATGCCTTAAGTCTTTCCAGTTGCCTTACTTTGTGAAAAGATAAAAATTGGGTGTATGGGGTTTTTTCCTGTTTGCACCACATAGGGTATTACTCAAAATCATTGCTTTTCTAATCCTTATACCTAAGATTCTTAGAGCTGTGACTCCTAAAGCCTGCTGTGTATGGCAGTCATTTTACTGTGTTAAGATTGGCCCTGGTTCTGCCAGCATTTATTTTTGGAATTACTTGTGATATTTTAAGCAGTTTAAAGCCTTTGAGAAAATAATCAGTCTTAAGTGAGATGTATGGGTTACCTTCATTATAATGTGATTTTATTCAAAGTGAAACAGCAGTAATTTATCCTTTCATAGCAATAGTGAATAAAGGATATAGACTGAGTGAAATATTAATGCATGTATTAAACTTTGAATTTTGAAACCTCTAGTAATTTTCATTCCTTTCTTTTATAAAAGATGGTGTCAAATGCTAGTGTTGGAAGCAATTTTTTTCCAATATTATATTTAAAAGATGTGTTGGGATCTTTGTGTTTTGGGTTGTTGCAGATTTTTTTTTTCCTTTTTTTCTTCTTTTTATATACCTGACTTTTGCTGTCCAACAGTGACAAGAACCAACCAGAACATTTCTGATGCTTATGTTGGTATCTTATTATCCCTGCCTGTGGTTTGCATCCCTGCCTCTGAAGACTTGCAGCAAAATTTGAAACCATTTTCAGAATGAATGCTAATAAGCATATGGAAATTGGAAATTTCTCCTAGTCTTCTAGGAGAGCTCTTAGGTGTCATGTTGTTGATGGAGAGTAAGTGGGAAGGTTGATTACCACTTGTTTGGGTTTGGCCTGTGTTGTTCTGCTTGTTTTCTGAAGGCATTCAGTGGGTCTTCTTTTTGATATGAAGTGAAAATAAAATACTGATGGATTTGATTGACAGGAAAGTTCTTTGTAGCATTGTCTCCAAATAAAAGCTTCTGTTTCAGCAATCAGTTACTAAGTCTATATATTGTGCTAAGTCTATATATTGTGCTTCAGATAAATGCACAGTGTGATGAGATGGAGTGTTTTCTTTCAGTTGAAATTTTCTTTTAATTAGATTCTCTTGGAGGATCTTGGGAAGAGATTTTTCTTCCCTGTAGCTCAGTGTCTTTAGTATCTTAGTAATTATTTATAGGCCGTACTGCAGAATTCTTTGTGGCATTGAGTAATTCAGTGTTTTGAGGAAATCAGCAAAGTTCAAAATAAATAGTTACCAGCAATACCACTTCAGAAGTTCCTCTTCAGCCTTGGTTTTGCCAAGTTTTAACATTTGCTAGGCAGCTGGCTCTTCCTTTGAGGTGCACCTGGATTTCCTCTCAGTTGGGCTGGGGAGGGATTAAACTCTTGAGTTACTTTGTGTCAAAGCCTCGTATTTTCAGATGCTGAAGGGAAGCTCTAGTGAGGGATTCACTGGAAGATGCCTCCAACAGCTGCTCTTTTGTTCATTGCACTGGTCAAGAAGTAGCAGCAGATAATGGTCAGCGCCAGTTAACTTTTGCTTTCCCAGGCCCACTGCTTTCCTGACTCTAGCAGCACCTCTTGCTTTTCCCCCAAAACCCTGGGGTCTGTCCAGGCACAGTGGGACTGGGGATCAAGGACACTTGGTGTGGAAGTGACCTGAAGAGAAAGTGAGAAGAGAAAAGAGGCAGCAGTGTGATGCCTTACTGTGAGATTTTGAGCTGTTGTAGATTTATGGGCATAGATTCTTGGTAACTGTATCCTGCACACTGGCAATGCTAGAGGATTCTTGGTGTACATCAGAAATGTGGCAGCCCTGCTCCTTGTCCTGGCACTTTAGGGTTCAGTGAAGGTGAGCAGTGGGTGGCCTGGGGGGGTTACACTGATATTCTGCTTCAGTGTCCATCAGTAAAGTAGTTGATTGTTTCTATATCTATATTTCTACAGATTCTGTGCCATTATTTTAGTTTATCGAGATGTTTTAAAATAAGCTTTTATTTCTATTTATTTTTATAATGGAAAGTCGGAGCTGATCCTGGATCCTGTGGTATTTCTGTACTGCAGAGATGAGCTCTGTGAGTATACATCAGGAGTTTCTCGGGGTTTGTCTTTGTGGATTAGCAACATACTTGCATGTTCCTTCTATAATACTGTATTGCTGGTGATGCTTGTGTGACTTCTGACAGCCTTGGGCTCCTGGAGACATAAATAATCTCGGTGTTGCTTTGTGCCTATTGTACATTTTTTCCTTTGTTGGATGCAGCAGGTTTGCTGGAAAAAAGGAGTTTAAAAAGGACAACTTTTGCATCCTGTTCTTTGTGTCGATACAGGTGGCGACAGACAAGGTTGCAGGCAAGCTGAGCTCCACTCTCTCATGGGTGAAGAACACGGTGTCGCACACCGTCAGTCAAATGGCCAGCCAGGTGGCGAGTCCATCTGCCTCCCTCCACACCACATCCCCCTCCACCACCCTCTCCACACCCGCCCTCTCACCATCCTCGCCGACACAGCTCAGCCCCGACGACTTGGAATTACTGGCTAAACTTGAGGAGCAGAACAGGTGAATGGAAAACTCTTTGCTTTTCGAAGTACAGTAATGAGACTAAAATTGGTTTGTTGCAATTGTAGCATAGAGGTTGTTAAAGGGGAATTAGTTAAAAATTTCATGGCACTGCACTTCAATTTGAAAGCCCAAAGGTTTAAGAATTTGTATTTTTGTGCTGTGTTTTTACAAGTTATGTTTTTGCAAAACTCTAGAAGGTGTTTTTCTCTACTGTTTTTACAGGAGTGTTTATAGCTGCCTCTAACAGTAAGAAATTATACTATGATTTTTAAAGCATCCAATTGCAAGTAAAGTATCCCAGGGATGAGACTTGTGTAAAACCTTCTTACCTTCTAAAATCATAACTATAATTTCTATGAATTTCTTGAAATCCTAAATCTTTCTCAATTCTTTTTTTCGCCCACTTTTATCCAGTTCTTGTTTTAGCTACATAACTTGCTATGTAGAGAGATGGAACCATGTTCAGCCACCTTCTTGCTGTTACACTAGTGGTGCCTGCTGCATAATAGCTTAAATTAATTAGAGGTTAATTCCTGATCAGTTTTTTTGTGTCCATCTTGCCTTTGTATGTATAGAAACAGTTTTCATGGTAGTCTTTCCATGTGCCTATTTATCTGCACAATTGAAGATGCAACTTTCAGGTGGATCAGTTGCTCTTGATGTGCACAGTGATGCAAATTCACAAGATCACTCAGAAATGAAGTTGGACTGTAGAATTTCTTAATGCTGAATTTCCAGAAGCCATACTCATTTGCACTTTTGAGGCAGGACTCCTAAGTCATCTGTCCTTTTGCAAAATCTGGTTATATTTGACAAGTATGTTTCAGTAATTTTTGAGAGGTTGGCTGTTAACAACTTGAGCTCCAAGTAGAGTTTTAGACTTGGCAGTTAGCTGCAGGGCTTTATTACCTACTGGAGATGGCTATCCTTGAGCTGTAGTGGAGGTTTGATAATTTAGCTCAAACTAGCTTCTGTTCCAGCTTCTATGAGAGTGCTGGCCTTTGCACTGAAGCAGTTGAGGTACTCTCTTTTTGATTGGTTTGGGTTTTCTTTGGAGGCTTTTTGCTTTTGGTTTTTTTGGTTGGTTGGTGGGTTTGGGGAGAGGAGGTTTTTTGTGTGGTTTTCTTTGGTTGTGGTTTTTTTTGTGTGTGTTTTTTGTTTTTTTAATATTATTATTCTTAGTTGGGAGGGGTTGTTTGGTTTGGGGTTTTGTTTTAGTTGGTTTGTTTATTTGTTTGGTTTTTTCCCTGCTGAGTCACTTCTGAGGGTAGTAACTTTCAGTGGAGGAAGCGAGTAACTGGGGGGAGGAGAGGCAATGCCTGTGTGTCACCAGGCATGTCTTCTCCCATGTCTGCATTCTGCAGCCTGATAGCACCACAATTTTAAGGGAATTTGATACATCTGTCCAAATTTTGACAATAGAAGGAAGCTTCTAGAACCACATCATACACTCTTCCTTGTCTTCAAAGATGAACTCCATTTAATTTTTGCTGTGCAAATGAAAAATTATCAAAAGAAGCAGAAAAATGGTTAAATAGCGCTTTTTTAAGAAAGCTAATCTGCATTTAATCTGAGGTTTTCTAGTCTGTTCATGACTAGAACAACTAACTTGTATTTGAAAAGCAAACTGTTCTTTGGACTGCTTATCTATGTTGGAGTGTAATGTCTTTACATGTAGAGCCTTCTCATTAAGGCCTGCAGTCAGACTGCCTGGCTTGTTGAAAGCAGAACGTGAGCTTGGGCTTTCTGTCTCAAGTCAGCTTTCTTCATTTAGTAAGTAAACTAGCCAATCTTGTCTGGTTTTATCTCCTTTTAGCCAGCCTTGTTGTTAGTCCCACACTAGTCTTGTGTGTGAATTCTGTTTGGAGCCTGCCCTATCCAGTGTGTCCTTGCTGGTGAGGTGCTGCCCTTTAGTACTGAAATTCGATGCTGTTTGCTGGCTGCACTGTAGTTTCAGAACAGTTTGCATCTGCAGTTTAGCACAGTGGCACTTTGTTGACAATTGTGCTCTGTTCACAGGGAGCCATTCTTTCTTCTTGCTGGAAGAATTGCTGCTGTGGATGTTTGTAAAGGTTTTGGGTTTTTTGTGAGCTTTTTTGTCAGAAGGAGAATATGAATTAGGTAACAGTTAGAAAAGGGAAGAACTCAAATTGTTTCAAGCTATGTCTTGTAGCATTCTGTAATGTAATTATACTGAAAGTCCCCACAGAATAAAGAGGAAGCTCAGTCCAGAGTCCTGGTGGAACAGTTTGGCATTAGTAAATCATTTATAAAGTTTTAAATGAAAGAAAAGAGTGACTAAACGTCACAGAACTTGCGACTTACTGTGAACAGAACTTCCTGTTTTCAAATCTAAGGACAATGAGTTTATCCAGGTAAGGTCTAATTACAGAAACTTAGTATAACTTTTACAGAAACCTGTGAAAACTGGAAGTGTCTCATTAGACCCATGTTTTTATAATCTTAATGTTTATTCTATGCTTTTTCCTCTGTGAATACTTTGAATTTGGTTTTGAGTCATTGTCTTGGATTGAGATAATTTCAAACTAATTTTTCATTATGGATCAGTACAGGCCAGGTTTCTAAACATTTGAAGGGGATTTTTAAAGTATTTTCTTTAAAAATAGATTTTATGCATTCCATTAATAAATGGAAAATTATTTGATTTTTTTAAATAAAATCTCAAATGAAAATTTGTCTTGAAAAGGTTTTCCTTTTTTTTTTTACCATTTAACTCTTTTCCAAACAAAATACTGCTGCAGAAACTGTGCTATATATCTTAATGAGTTAAATTACTTTTTCCCTTGCTTTCATAAACACCAGTAGGTGAAAGCTGAGAACATGGAAAGCTAGTATAAATAATTTCACTGTAGCAGAGAGCTTAAATATTGTAGGTATTTCTGTATTATTAAATATTATGTATTTCTGAGATTTCTGCACTATCTTAGATACAATATCCTTACAATTTGTTAAATATCTAAAACAATTTTTTGAATATCTAAAACATAACCTGACCTTGCTGAAATGCTGGAGGATTAACTTTTGTACTAATTTTTGAAAAATTACTAAGCCACATGGCTCTGATTTTGGAATTCTTAGAAGTTAAAGCACAAATGAAACACAAATGAAACTCATGGTATAGTGACATACTTCCAAGTTATTCTGAGTTCTTGCTCTTAACTAACACATGGTCCAAAAAATTTCCCCTGCTTGTGGGGCTTGATATTACTGGAGGATAAACAAAGCATTGCCTTCTTGCCAAGCCCATGGCCACAGCAAGCAGCTCACAGGGAGGTCTCCTCAGGAACTTGTTTGGCACTTGACACACCTTTGTTTGTACTTTGCTGCTGGGCAGCCCCACAGGGTCTCACGTTTGAGCTCCTCACTTCAATGGCACATTTATGAGCTCCACTAGTCACTTGTGTTGCCTCATCCTTGGGCTGCAGGTCTGGGATTTCTCCCGTGCCTTTATAAAACACTGTGTTGATTTGTGAACAGTTGTCAGCAAGGATCAGTTGTTTTAAAATTGCTTCAGAGGTTTTAATTGTTCTGTTTTTATTTATACTGTCAATTTTCAACAAGTGTAATCAGGTAGACTTATAGGAGGGTAATTTTTTGTCTTTTAAATGACTATTTTTAAGTTCTGTGACATTTGATGTTATTATTGAGGATATTTAACTTCCTTAGGTTTTCTTTGTCAGTCTGATGCATGACAGCTGTGGGTGACATTTTTATCTGTTTCTTAAAATGCTGCAGTGTGAACTGTTCTATCTGCAGATTTACTTGAGATCTCAAGAGAAAGGGGTAACATTGAATGGTTCTTTTCACATTTAGTCCAAATGAATGCTGGTGAAACTGTTTCACTGAACCTCTGGGTGCATTCTTTGTCAAGAAAACAATTAATAGTGCCATCCTTTGATTAGAAGAACTTGAATTTGGAAACAATTAATAGTGCCATCCTTTGATTAGAAGAACTTGAATTTGGTTTTTGTGTGCTTTCTTTGCAGACTCTTGGAAACAGATAGCAAATCGTTACGATCAGTAAATGGGTCAAGAAGAAATAGTGGATCTTCCCTTGTATCTAGTTCATCAGCTTCTAGCAATCTCAGCCATCTTGAAGAAGACTCGTGGATCCTGTGGGGGCGGATTGTGAATGAATGGGAAGATGTACGGAAAAAGAAAGAAAAGCAAGTTAAGGTAGTTGGAAACTGGTTTGTGGATTTATTTTTAATGTGATATAAGTGATACTGTTTTATATTTGTGATGGGCTTATTCTTTTAAAATTAATATGCAATACAAACTTCCAGTTGAGTCTTTCCATCCCTAAGCCTTGGTGCTTCCTTTGTAACCTTCCTATGTGCTGTCACCCAGCAAATGTCTCCTGCTGAAAACCAGATGCATGTACTGTATCTTGAATACTAAAGCTTTCAGTTTACCTCTGATGAGAGATTTCCATGAATGCAGGGATGATTAGCTTCATGTTTCCAAAAATGGAATTACTGAAGATCAGCAGAAGGGCATCTCATAGCTCGATGCTCTGATTCCGTATGTGTATGCTATGCTGCCAGATACTGAGCAGCTCTCTTTAAAGCATTTTTAATAGGGGAGCTGATAAATCTTCTCCAAGGCTACAACGAGTTTAGATTTTGTGCTTGCCAAGTATGTTGACCCCAGAGATGACCTTAGGCAGAAGAACACACAGTTTCTAAATTCTGGATGGATTGGATGAACTTTGTCCAGTGTGTCCAGTCTGGGTTAGTTGTGGTCATGTACAGAAGTGGGGTTCAATTACACTTTAAATTCAAACCAAAAAGCATTTAGTGCATTTGAACATATCCATGTTTCAGTGGCAGCAAGCAGAACAGCGTGGGATTTTTTTGTTAGCAGGCAAGTCTGTTCTGCTTTGGTTCTTTATTGGCTGTAGTCTGCAGTTTTATGTGCAGAATACAAATGTGTCAGGGTCTTTTGAACAGTTTGAAATGTGTGTCTATGAATAGGTTGTGGGAAGGCAGAACAATGGGCTAAAGTAAAGTATCTTTTGTATGGAGCAGTTGTGAAGAGAACATGACTTGAGAGAGGAAACAAGGGAAGAAAATGAACTAAAGATTTCCTGCTTGCATAGGGAAAGCAGTTTCTGGAGAGGTGTTCCAAAAGGCCATGAAAAGAAGGCCACAGGAATCTGGCAAGAGAAAGTAAAAGTGAGGTGGTAATAAGATCTGGTCAGTTAGAATTTGTTTGAACATTTTCAAGTGTCACAAATGTCACTTGTTTTTACAGCTGCCCAAGTACAATTTGAGGAGTATTTGACTAACTTTCAGGGAATATGTAATTACATTACTGACTAATATAGTGAAAACTAGCCATGTTTCATTTGCTGTTAAATAATGCTCAGTATTTTTTTGTTGGAAGTCAACCTTAACTGTGAGTCTGTATTTATGATGGAATATCAGAACATCCACATCTATTCCCTGATTGTGCCAATAGGTAAATAGGTAGCAGCATAGGTATCTTTTTGTCCTGGCTGTAAAACCTGGTCTTTGGTTATTAGAAATCTGGTAAGTTTTTATGTTTTAGGCATAAGTGTCTATACCTTCCTCCAAAGATGATGTGTTCCATCCTTTACATCTCTCAGTTCACTTCAGAACTTGTTTCTTGTTTATGGAGCACTTCTGAAGGATGACTCGAGTCCTGCTGTTCAGTTCACATGGCATGGCCAGTAGATGTGTTTCCTGCTGTTCCTTTTAGGAAAGTTGGAAGGGTTAACCCTATTATTCTGTCAAGGAGGTACATTAACGAGGCATTAGCCAGAAGTTTCTTGCTTTATTAGTGCTTTTGAGGCTTTAGATGGCTGATGTACAGTACAGTTGTGTTGTTGGCAAAGGATAGGTAGATACAGTTGTGTAAAGCTGATGTGTTAGGGTTCTTGTCTTGGATTGGCATTCTTTTAGGAAAAACACCTTGGTGTTATGTTGTAGACAGGAGAAATAGTTGGAGTGGCATTACTATGGTGGTTCTGAAGAAGGATGGATTGAGAGCTTAGGGATATTCACAAATGGAGATCAGTGATGCAAAACTCCTGCAGCAGAGTTTGAGCTTAAGAAAAACAAAACTTGAAAGGAAAAGTCTCTTTGAAAGTTATCAGTGTTGCATGAATTAATTGTAATGTTGGAGAAGTAGGAGAAAAATGTGAAACAAACAGGAAGAAGAGGAAGCTTTGCAGAATTGGAGGTTACTCTAGCTTCAGAATAAATAATGAAAGAAATTAGCCTTTAGGAGACTGAATACTTTATAAGAATTCTTAAAGTAAAAAAAGTTATTAAGGTAAAAAAAGGAAATAGTCTTGAAGAGACAATTTTCTAGGTCAGACTGATTCTAGTTGCAGAGCATACCACCAAGAGTCTGTTAAATTCCTGAGCAATGCTTCTTTTTCAGTTTTCAGATCAAGCAGCAAGACTTCTTGTCCTTGTGATTTCTTAAAGGACAAGTAACAGGTTCTTAGCTGTACTCATCTGGGCATGTTTGAATTGTATAATACCTAGCAGAATTTTTCTTCAAAAGCTAAAGTAAATTTAGTTAATTCGGTAGGTGTAAACTTAATGTTTTCTTGGTGCGGTGTCTGAAACTGCATTTAAATGCTTTCTTAAAAGATAACTTGGAAATCCTGGCACACTAGAGAAATTGGACATAAGTTGTCAAGTTTGCTAAATGATAGCTGTACTGTGCAAATTTTTTGTTGCAGTTGACTGTGCTATGGTTAGTTCTACTTTTTGTCATTTGCCTATCTTGGACGTAATGTTTAGTCATGATTTCTTAGGTCTCAATGACTGCAAATATTATTAAAGGTGTTATCTTCAGTAATCTTTCATGAAATATAGACATCATTGTATTAAGTTCTGTTTAATGGAAGTTCTTGTATAAAATTATTTGAATATTCTGTTTTTCACATAGTTTGCCATGGATAAGGAACTATTTTCAGTAGCTAATTTAGCCACTAAAAATGATTCAGAGACTGCTTACTTTTGTGAACTTAATAATCCTACTAAATTTGACGTTATAAACTGTATAAGGAGTTTTTGCCATGATGTAAAGTTTTTTTTGAAATTGTGAGGAGTTTGATTTCAAGCTGTTTTTTCTCTAGGTTTATTTTTTGTAATATTTTCAGGAAATATTGTCTTTTTGTGCCTTAGGAGCTGGTTCGAAAAGGGATACCTCATCACTTCAGAGCAATTGTTTGGCAACTTTTATGCAGTGCTCAAAGCATGCCAATTAAGGATCAGTATTCAGAGCTTTTAAAAATGACATCTCCTTGTGAAAAATTAATAAGAAGGGACATTGCTAGAACATACCCTGAGCATGATTTTTTCAAAGAAAAAGATAGCCTTGGGCAGGAGGTCTTGTTCAACGTAATGAAGGTGAGTTGGTGTTTCAGCCCTTGAGAATGTATTAGCAAGAGCATGCACCAGCTTGGATTGCCTTGTATATAGAGAACTTGCACCAGTTTCATGTGTTATGAGTTTTTTTTAAACCATAGACATTGGGATAGTTCAACAAATCCCATTTTAGTTTCGATGTCATTCCTGTAAGTTTTTTTATATCTCACAAGGTAAAACCAAGGTGGCATTAAAACAAAGCCACATGCTGACTGCTGATTGTGCAATGGAATGAAGTGTGCCATAAATTAAAGTGAACAGCGTTGCCCGAGACAAGAACATTGGCAATCAGAGCTAGTATTCAGTGTGCAGGTATTTCTGAAGTGTACATGGCAGGCACAAGCTAATGTGCAGTTGTTCCAGTGCCCAAACATAAAATGGAAATGCCAATGTAGCATTGTTTGCATCACTTACTCTTCACTAGAGGTTAAACTTTGAAGGTCAGACTTTTCCATAGAACATGGTTTCAATGGAGAAGTTGGCAGGTTTCCAAACCATAGTAGTTTCCATAACTCTAAAACAAAGATGCCACCTGAATGGAGATCACCACATTTCATCCATCTGTAAATAAAACAGCAGCACATATTTTTTCTGAAGACAACTTGTTTCATTGTCTAGTCTGTATCCTATAAAAGTAGTACTTTGTGAGATTTGTATGCCAGTGGTCTCTCTTATCTTTTACCAAATTCCTGCAGTTGAAAACTGCCTGTATTTTTGATAGGTATGCCTTAGTTTAGCTTTGTATGTATGTGCTCAGAGAGCAGAGTTTGTGGCAGCAGGTGGAAACTAGAATGTCTGACTAAAATTTCTGGATAGGATGTCTGCCCTTGTTGGATTTGGGGAGAGGAAGAATAAGTTATTAACAAGATAGCAGGATAAACCATGATTACTTTTTATTGATAATGAGGTTTAAATTGCTGATAGTTTTAACTTTATTTTCCAGGCTTACTCTTTGGTGGATCGTGAGGTTGGATACTGTCAAGGAAGCGCTTTTATAGTTGGATTACTGCTTATGCAGGTAAAATATTTAAAAATATGTGAACCTTTTAAATCCATGCTAGAATGCATAATATATTGTGGTGGTTTATTGGGAATTCTTGCAATGCTTTTCCTTCATAATTTTGTTACATTGGAACTGTCAAGGGTAGCTGTTTAGTCTGGAAATAAAATTATTTACTTTGTGTCATTCTATTTGCCAAGATACTTGTATTGGAGTGGGAGAATGTATTTGTTTTTCAGAGCTAAGGTAAGATTGCAAGCTTGCAAGCTATTTTGGTGAGTAATATTTCAAAAATAAATGAACTTGTTATTTCTCTTCTATTACATGGAATCTCCTCAGAGTTCAAATGAAACTACACAGTTGACTTGATTATCTTAAAGGTTCCTTTGTATTATTGGTTTTTGGTTTATGACAAAGTATGCTATATAGTAAGAAACTTACAGACCTCCATTTCAGTTGAGAAATTATTTGCTAGAATTTAATATATACAAAAGTTAATTGGAATAATTGGCTGTAAATCCCTTAAACAAAACAAAAACCTCAAAACAAACAAACCAACAACCAAGAAAAAAGCTCTGCTATGTGCACATGCACACAGACACAAAACCCCAACCCTAAATCCTCCCAGGCATTTACTCTGATATATCATTATGTTTGTCCAGAGTTTTTACTATGCTTTTTTGTTTTTGATATAGATGCCAGAAGAAGAGGCATTCTGTGTGTTTGTTAAATTAATGCAAGATTACAGACTACGAGAACTCTTTAAACCAAGCATGGCTGAACTGGGCCTTTGTATGTACCAGTTTGAATGCATGATACAGGTACATACAAAATTATCAAACTTGCTCTTCAGTAACTATTAATAAGGAACTTGGGAGTTACAGCTCAAGAGCAGGCATGTCTGTTGGCTAACAGGCTGCACTCTTGACAATAGCTAGTTTCAGAACTTCACAAGTAAATGCATGTGGCTCTGAGCAATTTTTTTTAACCTTTGGCAGGCAGTGACTGGCTTTAAACACTGAAGCATGAGGATTTGTATTGCTGCAGTTTAAGCAGATGGATGTTTAATTCTGTTTGGATTGAAGACTCTGAAAATCAAAGTCTTCATAGTCAAGTTACAGTATCTTAAAAGATGAAGACTGGGAGATACCCTCTTATCTAGGATTGAAATTGTTTTCAGATTTGGAATGCAGGTTCTTCCTGGTGAGGCTGATGGAGAAAAAGAGGTTTCTGTTTGGTGACCTGGTTTCTAACATAGTGGTCAAGGGTGAGATATCACATAGCCTTAGAGTTTTCAGCTCATTTTAGTAGCCCATTCTAGTTATTACTCTGGGATTTACAAGCTTGACTTCCCCTTAGGATCAGGAAGTGTTTTTGTTATCTGCTTTGCAGGGTAGGCATGCATGGTTCTTGATAATGATGAGTCATGTCTTTGCTAGTCCTGTTCTAGTACAGACAGCTCCTCTGTGTACTAAGTATCAATTACTGTCTTGTATTCCAAATTTGTCAAAAGCACATCTGCACTAAAACTACAAGCAAAAGCTTAACATACTTGTGTATTTTATTCCTCTTCTTTTCCAGGAACATCTTCCAGAGCTTTATGTGCACTTTCAGTCTCAAAGTTTTCACACTTCTATGTATGCATCGTCATGGTTTTTAACTATATTCCTTACAACTTTTCCACTACCAATTGCAACGAGAATATTTGATATCTTTATGTCTGAGGTAACTACTAAATGTAGCCATGTGTTATATTTCAAGAGTAGCTGTTGAAAGCAGTTATTTAGGTAGTGGTATAAATCCCATCATGATGGACAAATCTCATAGTCTTGCTTTTTATTTCTTATGCTGATCAGATTATTTTAAGGGAAGGTGTCTGTGTGTGCAGTTTGTCCAGGAGGAGTAGCCAAGTCACTGAATGTTGGTATTGTGTGTAGCTTTGTGCTCTAAGTTAAAGTGGTCCCAAATATGTTTTTTCTGGATGCAGTACATTAGCATGCAGCAGGGATATCCATTCCTCAGTATTATGGTGAGTTTGCAGTGGAAACTAATGCTGCTTTCAGGCCAAAGCTGGAGTTCATGGTGGATATGCAAGCCAAGAAGGGGGAGTGTTAGTTCTTTTTATTGTTCACATGATATTAGGTGCCAAAGAAATTTAGGGAAAGAAATCAGTGTCGTTATCACAAGGACACCTATGCTGTGTTTAGGATTAGAGCTTTGCACAATTGTAACTAATAACAAATCATAGTTTATGCTTGCCCTGCAGTCAGCTTTGAGAAAGCAGTAAGTCAAAGGTGGATCCTTTCACCTTGTCCCCAGGAAAGTCCAAGATGGGGTATATAGTGAGACTTTCCTTTTTTTCCCCAGTAGTTTAACTGCATTGTACTGTGTCTGAAATTAAAATAGCTTTTGTGACGAGTACTGGGGATGTTTCTACTAGATATACTTAAAATGGTAGATAGGGCTGACCTAGAGAATTCCTGTCACTTGAGATTTTGCCTCATCACTAAGTTCGCTGAGGGAGATGTCTGGCATCAGGACAAATATCCAGCTTGCTTGTCCTTGGAATAAAAAAAGAAACGCAGAAGCAATTTGGTGAGAGATTTTTTCAGTAGCCCTTTTACTTGTGCTTAGTTGGGTGAGATTTCCAATGTTAGTAGTAGAAAAGCTCTGTGCTGTTGACAATGGCATGAATAATTGTTGAATATTTTTTGACTTCTCTTTTCAGGGTTTAGAGATAGTATTTAGAGTAGGTTTAGCATTACTTCAGATGAACCAGGCAGAATTACTGCAACTTGACATGGAAGGAATGTTACAGGTAAGCTATGATTATAATAGTTTTAAGAGATATCTGAAATGTGCAGTGTGTGTATTTCCTTGCAGCTGTTAATTATATGTAATCTTGTGCTCTGATTGCTTTTAGCACTTTCAAAAGGTCATTCCACATCAGTTTGACAGTGGTCCAGACAAATTAATCCAAGCATCTTACCAAGTCAAATACAATGCAAAAAAGATGAAAAAGTAGGTATTACATTTTGAGAACATACATTATACTGTTGCTGAGTTACTGTTTGTTTACCCTTAAGAATTGCTATTCAGCGTTTCATTTTGAATTTTCCATCTTTACATTTTTAGGGGGTTTTATACTATATAAGCAGTTAAAACTGCAGTTCTGTCTGAAAAAAATGATTCTAAAGTAGTATTTGCTATTTTTCTTAAATATAATAAAGCTATAGCTCATTTACAAAAATAACTAGAAAAGCATTTGAAGAAAACTGTGAGTTATGGGGAATTACAGCACTTCTGTAAAAAGGAACTGAATAGGAAGGTTGGATAGGGGGTGATTTTCTCCTCTGGTGGGAGGGGAGATTGTTTTTGTTTTGTTCAGGGTAAAGGAGAGGAAACTTTTGTGATCTGGCCTAAATTCTGAAGATTTTAGTTCTCAGGAACTGGACAAATAATCATGTTGCTAAAGAGTGCATTTATAATCAAAATTAGTGCTTTTGAAAGTATAAATTGATAAAACTTTGTGGTAACATTGACAACAGCAAAATAACTTTAATGTGGGGTTTGAAATCTTGAGAATACTGCTCCTTGTTGTTGTTAAAGTTATATGCATGTCTCTTCTGCCTTTGGTAAATTCTGTTTTGATTAGCAAGCTGCAGATAGTGTGGCTTGCCAGGGTTGAGTTTGTTGGGTCACTCACTGGTTGTGAAGTATCCTGTGTTCATTGTTGCACTGCTGGCTGTGTCCAGGGTCTTCCAAACTGAGTTTGTCAATCTTTTTTATTTTTCTGTCAGCAGCCTATGATCAGTAGAATGAGCAGTCTTCTCTAAAAAAGGAGTAACAACAAAGCTTTCAGGAAAAATATTTTCTTTGCAAATCAGTCCATGTGTATGCAGTTGAAAATCCACCATTCCAAGTCTGAACTTCCTGATCTGCTTTCTGTAGAGGCATTGTTATCTCAGCTTGTGGGTTTTTCTTGCTGCCTTTTTCATTTGGCTTGCTGGGGAAAGGCTAAAATTGGTTTATCTTTAAGGTATTTTTCTCAGATTTCTTTACATCTTTGTCTTTCAGGCTTTCCAAGCTCTGATTTCTTTTGGCTGAATCTGTTGAATTGATGACTGTATTGCGTAAAGGGGTTATTGCAGAGTAGCTTCAAATTGCTGCCACTGTAATGTATCCAGGCAAGCTCCTGCACTTCAGAATGCTGGTTCAGTGTGTTCATATCTACTGAAATCATATCTACTGTGTTAAATTTAAGGTCCAGTCTAAGCATTTACAGGAGTGCATTTGAGAGGAAATATCAATAATCTGTATATCTGTTCTACTGTTATTTGTTAGGTATTACACCAACAAGTAAATTATCCACAGTGTTTCTGATCATAATTTACTATTTCTAATTCTTAGGCTAGAAAAGGAGTACACTACAATAAAGACAAAAGAAATGGAAGAACAAGTTGAAATTAAAGTAAGGAGCCCTCAACAAATTCATTTATGAATAAGTTTAATTCCTAGATGGGGGGATTGCATGTTTGATCTCTGGGTGTAGCAGGACATAATCAAGACCCCCAAATTTTTTCAGCATTTATATTTGGGATGTCTGTTCCCCAAGGACACTTCCAGTGAAATTATTGAGATTCTGGTGGACATTAAAAAAAAAATCTATGGGGACTTTCTGTACTTATTTTTTAAGTATTTCCTGCTCACAGAAGCTTAATAATAGATGCCCTCATTTGTCAGGGGTTCCAAATATGCTGGTTTAGATGTAGGTGCTGCACACAGGAGGTTTGTATGACACATGTTAAGATAGGCTTCATGGAGTCCACTTGACTGATTTGTCTTTGATTTTAAGATCTTGATTTTTCTTATGCATTGGACCCAAATTGTGGCATCTTCTCTCTGCGGTCACTTTTTCTTTTGGAGCTTTTGCAGTTAATACAAACTGGGGGGAAAAAGCCAAGCTGCCAGTGGAGTTTATTTTTCCCTGACCTACTTCCTGTATGTACCTAGTCACTGCATCTTTTTGCTTTTGTGACATAAATAGGCTTTTGATGCCTTTTTTTCCTATTTCACTTTTTTTTCACAGCATGTTGTTTGATCTGGATTTTCTTCCTTGTGGTTTTAGCCAGTTCTATGATTAAAGACAGTGGGAGAAATGCTGTGCAAGTGTATGATATACAAGTTTGGTGAGGGCGTTAGGTACAGCCTTCCTTCTTCCTGTCCACTGCTTGTCATTTTGCCTTTCAATGTCAGTTTTTGAGGCATCAGTTCTTCAGAAAAATGACTGTGAGATGCACCTGGGAGCACAAAGGTATTAGGAGCCTTTTCAGGCAGTTTGTTATTGCGCCAGGCAGTGAGGCAGTTAGCAGCAGGAATACCTGCTGTAACAGCAGCTGAAATCAGATTTGCAGGGCTCAAATGACAGTCTCTGCAGAACAGAGTAAAACCATGTGAAAGACAACTGTAACTTTAGATTCTAGTATATTAACTCTTTTCAAATCCTTTCTTGCTTCTTGCCAACATTCCCCGCCAAAAAAGGAGAAAGCAAAAACTCTTCCCAAAACAAAAAGCTTGAAGCCCACCCCAAGAAAAAGCAACCAAAATTTTTTGCAAAAAACCCCAACTAAACAACGCAGAGCTACCTGTTTCTAGGCCCTACTTTGGGACATATGTAAATAATTTCTGACTTAGCAGAGCTTCTTAGCAGAAGAGACTATTTTAGGGGAGATAGAACTGTATTTTGAGTTTGCCTTTTAGCCTGGCAGAGTAAAGCATATGCTGAACTGATATCTAATGCCCTCTTCTGAGGGGTATGGATCTTTTCTGTCTGAATGCTGACTGCTAAAATTTTACTGCCAAAATTAAAGGAAGTGCACTTGTAAAATATAGGGTTCAGTACAATTCTTGCTGGCTTCTGGGACGTTTGAGGTAATTCTCAGTATAGCCATACTATAGATTTATAGATTAATATAAATTCTTATGAAGGAAACCTTGTAGCTGCCTCATTAGGCTGTGCTGCTGCAGGGAGTGCACTGTCATGTCCCTTAACCATGAAGACTTTGACCCTCTTTATGAAGGGCAGGCTGTCCAGTCTGGTGTGGGTTAAGCCCCATGGTTCCCCTGCAGACCTACAGCTTTCAGCAAATGCAACATAAAAGCTTTCACATAACATGAGATGCGTTATTGTTGTTGCTGTACCAAGCTGTTTAAACTCATATTTTGAGCTAGTGCATAATATGAAAGGATGTTAAGGTCAGAAGTTGTTTTTGTAATTATACTGATTTTCATGGATGTGATGAGATAAAAATATTGGTAGTTTGCTTTGTTTTTTGACTTTCAATTCATAACTTGAGAAATGGATTTGTGAACTGTTTACCTTCCAGAGGTTACGAACTGAAAATAGACTCCTGAAACAGCGCATTGAAACACTAGAAAAAGTAAGTATGCTGGGGATTAGATTTAATCTCTGTTAATTTAGACTTTATTGATGGCAACTTCATTATATGAAATGGGAATCTCAGAATTACAGTTTACTGTTTTCCTGATAATCTCTGGTGTTTACTAGCAGTGCTTAGCCAAATAACATGGCTATCTCTGAGCAATTAAGGTCAGTGCTTTAAATATGTAAGGTTATGTCTGCTGCTTAGTGATTATAAAATCAAACATTTTGACATATTCAGCTTGTGTTGTACTGTTTTCTTTCTGAATTAGAAGCATATGTTCAAAGTCCAGAAGAGTCCATGAAATAGTGGACTGGTTGTTTGGAAAAAGGTCATTGTGAGAGAATCCTCAGTTTTGAAAATGTGAAGTTGCTTGGTGTTTTTATGTAGGAGCAAAATGACAGACCTACCAATGACCAGAGGGATGTTGCAGCATTCATACTGAGAGCAGGAACACTTCCATTCATTCCTTCTTTGTGGTTTTGAGGTTTTGTGGCAGGTCTGGGTACCTGGTGGGGAAATATCCAAAGACTTATTTCTCTTATATTTAGTCTGGAGTAGAGTTTTGTTAGGTTTTTTTGTAACTGACTGAAACTTCAAAAGTAGGCATGAGGAGTGCTATGGATGTGTGTCCAACTGTTCTCCTGTGGCCTCTGCTGTACCCTGGTATCACACTTGTGTGGCACATTGCATCTGAGCTGCTCTGCTCAGGAATGAGAGCATTCCTGCCCTTCTTAAGCCAACAGGGACCATCTTTGAACAAATGGGATTGAATGCTCTTATGAGTTGCAAACAGTTGTTCATGTTTCACAGGGAAGAAAATGGTCATGTTTCTATTGAGAGTGACATAATTGAAAGATGTCACACTAAGGATGTTAAACCCCAATGCAATTTCTGGAAGAGAAGTTGGTCTATGTCAAATTCTAATTGACTGGTTTCAGAATTTAGTTTGGAAAAGATGCATAATGATGGCACATTGTGAAAGTCGTGACCAACAATAAATTTGATGAACATTTTTGTTTCTAGCATTGGAGATTTATGAAATGGATGGAAAAGAGTAGGCTCTCTTTAAGAAGCTTGAAGCTGTAGTGAATCATTTCAATGACCTTGGTAAATATGTAATAGTTAATACCCTTGTTTTATACTTAACTTGTAGAGGTTTGAAATCTTTTCTTTCTTTAATTTTAAAGTCCAGGATGAATTGCTGCACGCTAGTGCTTTTGCAAATTCTGTGCTTAGAATTTCAGAATTCACCTTCAGATTATCCCAATCTGATTGGAATCAAAACAATTCAGAACTGGAAAATACTATCTATTAACAAGAATTCCTGAAGAACGTTATCATCACAGCATTTGAAAAACATCATAAAGTGTGAAAAATACATTAAATTCTTCTGTTGGAAATTTACTTTAAAAATATTTTTCCTTTATTCAAACCCATCTGATTTAGTTGTGATTTCCTTAGTGTACCTTAACTTCTAAGAAATAGCTCTTATCTACTAGTTTGAACTTCAATTTTAATAAAAGCTTCAAAGACAAAGAAGGTCTGTGAATAGATGTATTTCTCTGTTGTAGAATGTTCAAAAAAATTGATTGGTTTCAGGGATGATAAAGTAGAAATAAATGTAACTGCAGGGCAGTAGGGCTTGTCAGTGTGCAAAAATGAGTATTTTTTTTGCAAAAGTTTGGCAAGAAAAGAGAATCTGTGAACTGCTGAATGAGTCAGTGCAAGAGTTGAGTAAAACAGAACATTAGCTGTCAGTTGACATTTCCTCCTTGTCTGTCAGTTTACACTGTTTAACTGTCCTGCTTCATCTTAGTGGAAGCTGTAGTTCTGCATGAGTGCCTTGGTGCTTAGTGGAGTTCCCTCTGTGCTCAAATTATGCCTTTGTTTCATGTTGTGGGGGGACTGTAGGTGGTGTCCTGCATCTATCTGTTTGATCCTATCAGATAATGCTTTGATAACTTTCATTAATTCAGGAGCAAGCCACTCAAATAAAAACAACCAGTCTCCTGTAGGTGAATTTTAAGTGTTACAGAAATCTGGCTTTGAAACCTTTTTGTATCACACATGGACTGTGTTAAATCTGTTGCAGAAAAGGCTGCTTCCTGAGATCTTTGGACTGAGTTGCCTTCATTTATATGAAGAGTTGTTAATTTTGCAATAAGAGTTTGCACAAAAAATGGGTAGAATTTGGGCATTTTCTTTCTATCAACTCTTGGTCTTTTTTGACACTATTATCAGCCCCTTGTGTTTTGGTTTCCCTTTTCCTCATTCCTGTCTGAATTTTTCCTTTGTAGGAAAGTGCTTCCTTGGCAGATAGATTGATACAGGTATAGTCCTTTTAGTCTTTTACTGTATGACTCTCTTCCTACTCATAAAAAAACCCAACTGCTTTAATGCATGCATGTTTGCATGCTGTATTCTATTCCTGCTTTGCTGATTTGGCATATATACAGAGCTAATACATCTTGCTAGAAACTTGTTTAATTTTGTTTACTAAAAATATATAAACCCAATACCTGCACGTTATAGTAATTTTCCTAACCTATTGTAATTTTTTGTACAAATTCCTGTGGCAAATGGATTCTATGACACTGTATTAACAATGAAATTGAATATTGTGAGCCTAAATCTGTGCATGTACAACTGAGTAATAATGCATGAAAGGAATTTTATTGAATGCAAGTGCAAAACTGTGCTTGCTAAATGGATGCCGAACTTTGTAATAAAGTACTAAAGCAGCTGTTTAGTACTACTTGTCCTAAAATTTCTACCAATTGTACTCTGTGCTGTTTGCAAAACCAATCTGATGAAATAAGCAGCTAAGCATCACAAAGGCAGTTTTCCTTGGATTTGTCATCAAGTGCTTAAAAAAAATAAATTATGTCCTAAGGGACAAGTGACAAGGGCCCAGGAGGCTGAGGAAAACTACCTCATAAAACGGGAGCTGGCCACCATCAAACAGCAGAGTGATGAGGCCAATACTAAACTGGAGCAAGCTGAGAATACCATCAGGGAGCTCCAGCAACAGCAGCAATGGGTAAGGAGCCTGGCAGCACATCATCTCATTTTTTCCCCTCACATGTGTTTATTTTTCCTCATCATTATATGACATGGTCTCTGTGCTGTCTTTGTAAACCCCTGTTCACTGTGATTTGCATTCTTAAAAGGACACAAATTGGATTAAATGAAATTTTGCTCTGTTCTACTGATAGATGAGATTCATAACCCTGGATAGGTGTAAGTTGAGTTAATTAAAAAAACTAAACACATACCCACAATGAAACACACCAAGCAAAAAACCCTACAAACCAACTCCAAACCCTTCCACCACAAGAGAAATACTAACAAAAACCACACATACAACCTCTGATAGCTCTTAAATGCTGAGAATCTAGTCATTGCAAGTTGTGTTACTCTGAGTACTCAGATTTGAGGATTGATTCACAGTGTCCTTACCTAGTGTATAATTTAAGTCAGTTTCTTTCATGTTAATGCTTCTTCTGTGTACTCATATTTGGTTTTTTTCTGAGTATGCTAAAATTTACTGCTTGCTGAGGTAGAAGAGTGTTATCCCTGATTTTGCCACTACAAAACTTGATTAAAAAGTGTGGGTTTATGGGCATATGGAGCTGGAAAATAAATTTTAGTAACCTTTTGTACTGCTGTATTTGCGTGCACTCAGTGTTCTAGGCAGTAAAATGTTCAAGACTTCTGACTGTTGCTGTAACAATGAAGTTACTTTCCCTGAGACACTTAAAATGCTCAGTATCTTCTCTTTGGTGGGACGGGGGAAGCATTTTAGCATCTTCACTTGCTGAATAAACCGTGCACTACTAGTGTTGATGTGAATGTCTTCATATTGTTTTAAGTGGTATCCAAGTACTTGTCTGGAGTCTTGGGAATTTCAGGTGTATGGAGTACCACTTACTAGAACTAAGTATATTGCAGCTCCTTACCAGGTTTCTTGTAATCTTTCAAGTGAAATACAATGAGAGGTGTTTATAGACTTTTGCATATCCAGCTGTTTTATACAGCTGTATTATCTCATTACAACAGTACACGTGCCTTTGGAATGTATTTTTTAGAGGCATACATGTTAATGACATGTATGCATTGAAAAGTTATTAGAAGAAGACTAAGATACTGTATTTATTTATTTGTTAATTGTTGGGAATATGACTTTTAAAACTACTGCCTTTATGCTGAGGACCTTACTGAGTACCAATGATGGGGTGGCCTGACAGGTTGCCTGGGTATGGGAACTGATCCTGAGCAAACCTTGGATAACTGTGGATTGCAAATTTGGCTTGGTTGGAGCTGTGGGTGCAGACAGCTGGACAAGTACTGCAGGAGTGGAGAGTAAATGAAATTATGAGCATGCTTCCTTCTTTCCGTGCTTGCAGCATGTTTTCCTCCACTTAAACGTGAACATGGTTGTAGGAAATTGTGTGCGTGGAACTGAGACTATAAATCCATATTGTTATAGACAGATTTGTGCCTAATAATAACAATAATAATAATTGTGCTGGCTTATTTTCAAGTCCAAGGAATAGCACTGTGGCTTTGAGACCCATCAGAATTAGACAATGTGGTGAAAGAGTTAAAGTGCTTTAAGTGAGGAGCGTTTGCGAGCTCCTGCTGCGTCAGTAAGACGTGTAAAGGAACAGGCTTTTAACTGTTTCCAAGCATGGGAGTGGGAGCAGCAAATGTAAGCGGCTGTGTGCGTTTCGGGCGCCACCTGGTGGGAATGCGTGGATTTATTTGGGATTTTGGCATTTTACTGTACGGTGGTTAATTTTTTTGCCACTTGCTAGTGCCAGTGGCTTTGTTCTTGGCAATACTCCTTTTCAGTATTGTCATGTGAGTATCTGCTTTAATGTTTTCTTCTCTAATTATTTCAGCTTTGTTTATTGTTAGCAAAAATGATTGCACTGTAAAGCTGTAAATCACTGCATAGTTTCTGTGCTTGTTTAAAGATACAGCATCTATTGTATATATTTTATCATCTACATCTTTTTCAGTCTTGAATTGTCTGTTTCAGCATGATAAAAAACTGTAATGTTTGGATAGGAATCTCTGAATAGAAATGTATGGAAAGAGCTGCCTAAAGGTACTTGCAACAGCCTCTTCTCAACAGCACTGTGGGATTAAAAAACCCCACTGTTTTGTTGGTGGCAAAAAATTATCTGAACAATAGTATTTCTAAGAAGGTTAACATAGCCTTTGTAAAAAGGTTATTCATTTGTCTTTGAGTATTGTCAAGGGTTTATGCCCTGTGTTCTATGAGACTGGATAGCATAGGTTGGATGGCTTAAGGATGAGTGTTGAAAATACTTACTGGATTTGTGTCTGAAGAAATTCTCCCCTGCAGCACTTCTGAATCCAGAGGTGGGTAGGGGAGTATTCTTCTGATTGAAGCCCAACACCAGAAGCCCAGATTACATACAAGTTCATTTTTTTCCTGTGCTCAACTATTTATAGTGAGTTTTTAGTTGAACCAGAAAGACTTCATTATGAAGCATGGAGTCTGCTTAAAGAAGTAATAATTATACTAACAAATGATACTGAACCTCTCTTTGGCTTGTCTGGTCTTTAAATGTGGAAGCTTGCCAAAGTCATGGTGTGTTACCAAGTGATTAAGAGGGAGGTGGCTTCTTCCTTATACTGCTGGTAAATCGAGAACTGCATAGAGGAAGTTCTGCCTGACTTGAACAAAATCCAGTTTTCTTTTGAGGCATGCTAAGAGCAATGGCGTTTGAGGAGTTAGTTAGTTAGCCTGTTGTAACTTACTCCTGATAATGATGTTCTGAAGGCTTTATTCTGTTCTTTTCCCTCTTGTGTTTCTAAATGAAAGGGGTAGCTTCTTGCTGGATGTAAACACCTCCAGAATGCAAATCTTGTCTTTCCTTGTGACACTGTAATTGTCTATGATTACCCAGTTCATCAGTCTGAATGCTGTAAAATTGAATCTGATAAACTGGAGGCTAATCAAGCTAAAATTAGTTCGCATCTTATTTTTAAATAGGCTCTTCAGCTATATTATGTGAAGATAGAATTTTAATTGACTAAGCATTCAAATGGAAGCATATGCATTTTGCAAGGTAATTTATAGTGATGTATTTGGTTATTGTTACAGCAACTTCATAATGCATAGTTTCTTTTCAGGAACTCATGCTAAAATGACTGATAATAATTAAGAACATAGTAAGTGACCTTGGGAATATATGCTTGTAAATGAGTGTTGCAACTTCATGAAAGGCTTGACTTTATTTTACAGTATACTTTCCTAATACTGTATTCTGATTTGCAATAAAAAGGCAGAAAATAAGAATTCTGTATTTAGGGAAGTACTACAGTTAGTGCTCAAATGTATAAACAAAGTTAGCTGGGAGCTGCTGAGTCATCTGTTAAGTGCTCTTCAGTATAGTGTACTGGAGAAACATTGTGTAATTACATGTGTCATCAGCCAAAATAGTATTTGGTATGGTTATGTTTAAGAAAAGTTGGGTGGAAATCAGTCTAGTTGTATGAAGCCCAGCAAGGACTTGTTTCTTTTAGAATTAAATGGCTGTGGAACTACAGTTGTAGTCCTTTATGTTACTTGTGTCTCTTCAACATAGGCAAGAAAGTCTTACTGTGGTTAAAATGTTTGGTGCCTGAAAGTCTGTATTTGCATTTTGATTATTGTCAGAAATTCTAGGGCTTAAGGCAGATATATAAAAGCAGATCTTTTTCCTGAAGTCAATTTAAAAGTAGTTTTCAAGTGTTGTTTTAAATATAAACTTGTGTTACTTTTCTATACTAAATTATTGAAAATGTGCTTTGTTTTACTAAGTAACAAAATGCACAACTTCTGATTTGTGAATCTTGATTTCTTCAGTCTGTTTTGATCTTGGCTGGGCTTTTTGTATATCAAGACTTGACTCAGAGTTTGTTGTGGCTAAGTAAATAAGTACTCTTAACGTATTCTTTAGGCAGGCAAAATCTTAAGACAGATTTAAAGAAGTCATGGCTCGTGCTTGAAACTGGATTAATAACGTTTCTTAGTCCGTTACTAATTATTTGATTATCATCTATTAGATTTTTATAGAATACACTTACATTATTGCAAAATCAGCATGTATTCGGTTCTTCAAATCTGCTGTGTTCTGCCAGTGTCCTGGAGAACACTGCATTTGCTCTCATTCCATGTGTATTGCAGACAGAAACCTGGAACATAAAATGTAAGGTCCATGTAAGTTGCTGTGTGTATTGTGGGATGAACCTGTACAAACAGCCAGGGAATAAAAAAGAGTGGTTGCTTTTTCTCTGCCTCTGTATGGTGTTACATGTGGTACTTGTGTTGCTACATGATGTGAAGCACCTGTAGAAATGAATCAGCATTGTCCACCATCCTCCTCCTTACACTCACATCAGGTCTGCCTCCACTGCTTGCTGAGGCAAGAACGCTGTGTGGGTTGAAAATGCTATGAATTTAAGTGGAATAATAAGTGGTATTGTGTAAGGGAAAAATGAGTATTAATGTACAAGGCTCACAGTGTGTCTGTGTTCCATGTGTGTTCACATGCACACAGTATGCTGTGTGCTTAAGTGGACAGTGTTAATGGCACTGAAATCTGCCTGCCTGAGCTGCCTTTGCCTTTTAATGCTTTGTGCGTATCCTCTTCATTGCAGCTTCCTGTAGGCACATATATACAAGAAATATAGTAACACTAAGAGTAGAGTGTACATTTTGAATTTGGATTGTACTGTAAGTCTTGACAAAAGGTTTAATTGACATGCAGAAATATAAAAGCAAAAAAAATTCCTTGACTGTATAGTTACATTTAAATTCTTGTTCTGTCCTGTTTGCCTTTTATTTTTACATAAAAAGTCAGTGTCACACCCTAACAGAAGCATGTGGAACTGAAGACTTCTGTTCATTTTTTAACTGTTTTTTAGATGCAAACTATGATGAAACTTTAGATGAAATTGTTTGATGCAAACATAATGTAAGACACAGCTGTATCTGTAGTATAATGAGTAATCTTTTAAAAGTTGAATTGTAAATTAAAACTGAATCTATGAATCCAAGCATAGTACTTATATTTCACAATATAGTTGATGACACCAAAAATATATGATTTTCCTCTAAATGTAATTTTCAGAGTAGCTGAAAAACAGTAAACACAGTAACTAAACAACTACACTTTGAGGATTCCAACTCCCACTTTTTTCTTCAATCAGAAATTTAAAGGCTGATTTAGGTTGGTGTTGCCTATCAAGCAAGTTTGACATCTGTCAAACTGACAGGTCATTTTAAAGTAAACAAGGAAAGAAATGAAATGTATTTTTTAACTATTGACTGGGAGGAAAAGTTAAGAGAGTCTTTTATATAGAAGTGCTTCAGTTGGATGTATCTGAATCTCAGAAGGAATATATAGTGTGTGAGCAAACGAGACCCAAGAGCTGGAGTGAAGAAAAGGGCAAACCAAAGTCATTGTGCTTTGAAGCATGTGTAGTTTATTTAAAGCCAAGATTATGGAAGGATTCTGTTGAGTTGGAGTTCAAGTGAAAAAGGATTGAATGATACTTGTACTAACCTTGGAATTAGTTAGTGTTTCCCAAACATCTTTTTCTGCAGATCACAAAATAATCACAAATCGTTGGAGAATCTTTCAGTTAGGTTTACAATGAGAGAGAAGTGTGAGTTGCTGCTTGTCAGTACTGGTAGGGGTCTCATTTTTGTCAGATACATTTGGTTGTGTGGAGGTGCAGTTGTTTGAGAAACAGGGCAGTAGGGATATGTTTGTTAGCAGTCTGGACTGACGTTAATAGAGTTGTATATGGCAAGCACTTATGCTGGTACTCCTGATATTAAACATTTGAATGTACTTGTCCCGCCAAATCTGGTATATAAAACCCCTTTCAAACAATCTGTACTTCTTACTAAACATATTTCTGCAAACTTTGTAGCATAAATGCAGTTCACGATACAGTGAAGACTTTGTGCTACAGCTGGAAAAAGAGCTGGTCCAAGCCAGGCTGAGTGAAGCAGAATCCCATTGTGCCCTGAAGGAGATGCAAGATAAAGTTCTAGAGATGGAAAAGGTAAATCAAACCAGGACCTCTGTACAGAACAGCACTAGAAACAAACTACAGGTCCCTGTCCTTCCTAACAAGCAGAACTGTGCTCTAGAACCTTCTCTTCTATGCTTCTGTGACTGTGAGATGCTTTTCAAACCTGGAAGTACAACAATAAAACTAAGGTCTGTTTGTGCAGGGAAAGGTTTGTGAATAACTGATCACTTTTCTTCTATTCCTGAAGCCTGCTGTAGTAGAAAACTTGGATTCTGGTGAAGTCCTGAGAGGAAACATCAGTTGTTTCAAAATTATATCCTGCAACAAGAGCAGTGGGCTTAGAGTGAGCATTGAGATGATGTGAAACTGAATATTTTGGAAGGGGATAAAGAATGGGTTCAATATTACCATTCCCATTGTGGGCAGGGAAAGAATCCCTTATCCCTTCACTGCTCAGTATCAAAATCTCTACTGCTTTTTGGGTGCCATGCTAGCTTGTGACATTGATGCCAGAGTTCAAGCTGTACTCAGACCTACTGTCAAACATTTACCTTTTTTGAAGCAAAGTTTAACTGCAAGATAAACCAAAAAAACCAATAACTGACCTGGTATAAAGCATGCTTTTCAGATCCTGTTGTACTGGCTTTGAAATTAGTTTCTTCAGGAAATGTTAATGAGCTATGTACCCAGGCTTTGTAGCTAATTAGATTGACCCCCTGGAGTCAAGATTTATTTTTCAGTTATCTGATGGGCTTAGTATTAGTAGGGTGGTAGTTTTTACTGTATTGACCATTGGTAAGAATTCAGGATATAAAGTATTTTTCAAAATTCAGGAGACTGCTTAATCTTCATCAGTATAGAGACAGCATACAGTGCAAACTTACCTGTGAAGAAAAACTGGAATAGTGGGATTAGTTCCAGTGCACCAGACAAACTCAGACATACAGTAATATTTCAGTGTGTCATAATGAACTTATGCACATGACAAGGTGGCTGAAGTCCCTCAAATTCCTCCAGTAGAGCTCTTTACTGCTGGTAGTGATGAGTCAGGTAATCTGGGGGGCTTCTGCTGAATAACCTGAGACTTGCATGGCCACAGTGACAGTGCCACAAGCATTCAGAAACAAACCCTCTCATTTCCTGTATTTGCCAATACTCAGATCCCAAAATTCCCACGGAATGCTAACCAATGGCTGCTGTGCTGTGTTCTGTTAATGTTAATCAGGTGCTTTACTCAACTCTCAAGAAAACCCAACAACTGTCACAGTATTATGCATCTGCAAAACCACTCAATTTTGCTGAAAACAACTACAGGGAAATAAAGTGATGAAGAACAGTTCAGCTTTGAATATTTGGTGACCAGTGATTTATTGTAGGGAGGTTGTAGACAGCCTGTCTGTTTTCTTCCCCTCTTGTTTTTCTCCCACATTTCCATCATTAGGATTTTGTCTTTGTTATGCTTTTCCTGGTGTTTTCATGTTTTCTGTTTAGCCTTCTCTCACCTTTCTGCTTTTTCCTCATGTGTCTTGCACTGTTCATCTCTCAGACCTCTTGACTGGTTGTTGTTTATAAATATTAACAGATGGTTCTTTTATTAGCATATCTGTTCTCCTTTTCAAAGGCTGATGACCTACTTCCTAAAAAATGAATTTCCATTCATTATTTTTCCTGTAAACCTAAATAAAAGTTTTAGCTTTAAGGTGTAATTTCTGTTCACTGTTGCTTTACTTTTTATCAACTAGATCAAAACCTTCCAGATTACTCTCCATATTCTGATAGTGTGTTCAAATATTGTAAATGTAACATTTTGTTAGGGATACCATTCAGGGAAATCTTGAGGTAAGAATACCTAGAACTACTATCTTATAAATTTTTTTTGTAGTTGGCAATTGGAAGTTATTTATACACACAATATTCAGAAGCTTAGATTGTTTGATGGTTTTTATTTTGCAGAGGATGCGTACTTAAAGTTCTCATAGTTATTTTTGCATGTCTATGTTCTTGGACTGGGTTTCACTAAGCACAATTTTATTCAAATACATATTTAAGAGGATGTTCCTTGTTGCAGAGGAACAGTTCCCTTCCTGATGAGGAAAATGTTGCCAGACTACAAGAAGAACTGATTGCAGTAAAATTAAGAGAAGCAGAATCTTTGATGGGTCTCAAAGAACTAAGACAGCAAGTCAAAGATTTGGAGGAACACTGGCAGGTATGGGCTGCACTACAATTTTATGATTTTTTGTTTTCAATGATAAAGCATAAGACTATAAATTGTTGAGATACTGAGATCAAGTAGAAACTAATGATTATGGATCAAACTGCTGAGGTGAGACAATCCTTAAATTTGGCTGTCACAAGAAACTTAACTTCAAAAAATGTTAGAAATTGGTGCCTAGTTGGTATAGATGGCAGAGGGCCTGTGCTACCAGCTAACTGTAATGGTAGGAGGGAAATACCTGATCAGTACTCCTACTTTGCTGCATGTTAAAAAGGGCTAGAAATAGACAAAAGTCTCAGGATATACTTGCAGTTCACTGACTTAATGTAGTTGGGAATGAATACGTTCAGTTTTTTCATTGTCTGTTCTTAAAACCAGTATGTTTCCATGGGATCAACAGGGGAACTCTAGCTATTTGTCCTCTATAACTGAGAGCTTAGATGAAGTAAGGAAACAGCAGGAATGATCAGGCATTGCCAGCAAAACCATGCTGTTTTTCTAGCGTCACCTAGCTCGTACCACTGGAAGATGGAAAGATCCTCCCAAAAAAAATGCAGTGAATGAGCTCCAGGATGAGCTGATGACAGTGCGCTTGAGAGAAGCAGAAACCCAGGCTGAACTGAAAGAGACCAAGCAAAGAATGATGGAGGTGGAGACACAGGTATGTTATTGAACACTGGGATGTGGGAATTGAGCTGGATGCTGGCAGTTTGCTGTGACATAGTAGATATACCTGCTGATGATCTTCACTGTCTACAGGCAGGACCTTAGTTCCAAAATGTGGGATGTTTTTACTTCTGTTAGATGGGGATGGGAGAATCTAGTGCTTACAGTCCAACTTGAATGTCTCTCCTTCAATCTTTTTCAGGATTATGCTTCTTGAATTTCTAATTTGGATTAGTTGTTAGACACTGAATGTGTGTGCATCTTAAGTCATTAAATCTTAACTGGTGTAATAACAACAAAAGTATGTTTAAGGTGTTTTAAATTTCACAAATCTTATTGGCAGTTCTGATAATAGTAATGTTTACCTGGCAGTGTGTGCTTTTTTTTGATGACATTGGTGATTGATTTTCTGCTGAGGTCCTGAATCTGGTTACTAAGCTGGAGATTCAGCAAAGCAGCTGTGTATTGGTCAGGGGTATTTAGCAGAGGTTTGCCTTTAATGTGCCAGAATAGAAAAGCATGGGTTATGGCTGCTGAGGTTTGTGCAGAAAAGACACTCATACCTTGAATGCTGAGATTGTTTTTGTATAAGTAGGGAATAAGTTGCTAAGCACCTGAAATGAAAATGCACTGAAGTGGTGAGCTCATATTGTGTTAGTAAACTTTCACTCAAGTTAATAAGCACAATGTGCTGATGATTGAGAAGGATTTGCATGAGGCTTCTAAGAAATCTTCCCATGAAATACCTGCTAAATATTACTTTTTGAAAGAGACCCATGCATCCACAAAACTAAACAAACAACAGCTTTACTTGGAAAGGTTCAGCAATTCCAGAAGCCAGGAGAGCATGTAAGGATGTGCTATTGAAGATAGATGAAGCAACTGCAAGGCATAGGAAGGCTTCTTTCTGACAGAGGCACTGCTTTGTGTATACCAACTGAACGAGTTTCCTCTTGCTTTACTTTTAAAATTTTTAAATTTTTTAAAATGTTCACTGACATGTCAATAATGTTTTGGTCAGTAGGGGGCGGAGGGATCCTGCTGTTTGGCTCACATGTACTTAGGTACCTCTCACTTCAGTGTTACACATGGAGTCTTTGTATGTGCTTAGGCTGTTCAGCTGTCCTCTGAGAAAAATGCCATTCTCCCGGTATGGTGTGCACAGCTTCAGGTACAAATGCTGTGACTTGTACTTGTGCACTGACCTCAGCTAAGGTGCCATGTTGCTTTCAGGAATTTACTGGGCAGGGAAATGTGCAAGGTCAGTATTTCTGACATACCTGATCTTTCCTGGATGCATAGTGTAGCTGGGATACAAGTTCACAAAATCTGCCTTACCTAGGCAACAAATTGGGAAAAAGAGATCTACTGGAGTGTGGTGGAGCTTTGCAATAATGTTCTTACAATGAGTCACCTGTCCAAGAACAATTTGAATATCCTGATGATAAGCAAATTATTGTGCAGTCTCTTCTGATTAACCCTTGGAAAATGCTGAATGCTTTTCATCAAAAGCTTTTTATGGTAAATCACCTCTAAGTCTGTTTTAGCACGCTTCAGGGACTTAGATTAATATCCTTTCCTTAACATGTATTTTGTTTCCTTGTTTTGGCCATACATTTCAGAACCAGATCAATAGCAATCACTTACGAAGGGCAGAGCAGGAGCTCACCAACCTACAGGAGAAGGTGCAGTATCTTTCTGCACAGAACAAAGGACTCCTGGCTCAGTTGAATGAAGCAAAACGTAGACAAGCAGAGATTGAATGCAAGGTAAATGACATCCTGAAAAGAATATTTGTGTGCTAATATATGTACATTTTAGTCTTGTCTGCCGTTATTGGATAAAATTGTGTCTTAACTGAGAAGCATAAATCATAAAACCAAAATTCTTTTTACTGATTTTTGGCAATATAATTTTGAATTTACTATCTCACAAAAACCACTTGAGGTTTTGACAGAGCTGCTTCTTTGTGGTCCCACGAAGATAAATATTTACTTTAGAGCATGGTTCTACTCAGAAAAGTAGAAAAGTCTGTGTATAATATAAAAAGACTCCTCAGCAACAGGTTTTCATTTTTCTTACTGTCTTGCCAGTTCCATTTGTTTCTAGTGGGACTGGAATGTACAGTGTAGTAAAGAAGTAACTGCTGCTGTCTCGTCAAACTCCATCACAAGCTTTTAGGAAAAAAGACACTGAAACTTAACTAGAAGAAATTGCTTCTACTGACTTTCTTGTTTGCCTCTGGTTTCCTAAGTACTATTTTTTTACTGCTGAGATTAATTTTACTGATTTTTTAAAATAATCATAATCTTGGTGATGCCTTTTTCATATAACCCATAACTTACTTTGATTAGTTTTTGATACTGAAGGTGCTCATTAATCCTTGAGAGATTGAGGATTGAGACTGTGTAATCAATATTCTGGTTTTATGTTGACTATGTAAAGAGCAATATTAATCTGATTAATGAATTAGTACACATAAGTATTCTCAATGGGATAATACAATTGTAGAACAATGTTCTAAAGCATGAGCTAGAGAAAAGTGTGACAGTAAGAGACAGAGCACCAGTCATACTCTTTAGAGATTCTGTGAAATTCTGAAAGTAGCTATGGTGAATAGCCAGTGAAATGTCTTCACTGACTTCCTAACATTAGATCCTAAGAATTGTTTTGCAGCTAATTTTTACAGTTTTACAAGTAGTATTTGATTATATATCAAAACCAACAACAGTTATTCCTGATTCTATTAACTGATGTTGGATTATTTTTTTTTCTGTTTTTTCAAGTTGTTTGAAATCATGCTCTAGTTTTATTTTTGTCTTGGCTAGGTAGCAATATTTCTACTGTCTCAAAAAGTATATATTAAGGTTTTCAACTCCAAATATATGCATAAAAAACTGGTATGTTATTTCAGGAGCTTGTATTTTTCTTTTAAAAGATGTCTTGAAATGCTTAAGCAGAAATTAAATTTTTCTTGTAGTCAGTTGCATCTCATACCACCTGTATAGCAACTGTTTTTTGCCACATTGTTTTTCCCTTTTTTATCTGACTACTGCTTCTACAGCAAGGATCAATTTGAATTTTTTTCTTGAAACTCGCCACTGATCTTTCTAATCAGTTGTGCTAAAGAATTTACGATTTAAGGTTTGTACCCCTACCCAGTCTTGTCCTTCCTTCCATATCAACTTCTGTGGTAATTGCTGAGAACATGCTCTGTTTCAGAGATAAAGCATCAGTGCCATCTAGAGCAGCACTATTGACTCATCTCTGATGCCAAAGTCAAACCAAGCCAGTCTTTCCTTCAGCTTTCAGTTAAATACATGCAATCCTGTGGACTTGTCGGTTTGGCTTTATTTAAGCAATCATGCTACAGAATTTAGCAAGAATGGCTAAACTTTGTCTAGCACATGATAGATTTCTCTGAAATGGGCTCCACTGATTACAAATGCAGTTAATTGGATCCTGTAGATTATATAGCTCCAATACAAGAATATTTAAAAAAGGACCCAAAACCAAACAAGTAGCATGTTTAGAAGTAGCTCCTGTGGATAAGCTTTGATATGTTTGATTTTATTTTAACTGTACTGTCTAATGAAGGGTGATTGAGTACTGTTTGTTCGAAGCACACTAAAATAACTGAAGTACTGGAACTGATTTGCAGTAAATACAGTTTAGTTACACCAGTCTGCTATAAAAGTAGGTGTACCTGAGCCTAATCTGTCTCTTCCCCAGAGCTGTTTGCTCTTCAGGTAATTAGTATTGCTCACTAATTATCTAATGCTGCTTTCTCTCTGTGGTTGTACTAGGCTGCTGACAATATAATATTGTTTTATGCTCTGAAGTCTTGAGGACTTGCCTCATGAATCTGGACATTTTTTTCTCTCTTTTCAAACTCCCTATCATTTATAGACAGACTAGTGGGTTAAACTTACAGTGGGAGGCCAATTGTAGGTTACGTGCATTAGTATTTGATTCTAAAATATTTTTGTTTTATACTGTGACTAAGATAACTGGACTAAATGAGGTTGAAAATACATTTGCTTTTGTATTTAATTTATTTTTTAGGACAAAGAAAATGATGAAATAAGTAACTCTTGTGTAGCTTTGCTGTTTCTCTTACACAAAATCCAAAATTAAAGCATGAACTGGTTTCTTTTATAATGTTGATTCTTTTTCTTAATTTACAGTATAATATTTCTGGGAAATAAGACAGTTGTTTTCTGGACCTTGAAACTGATAACAGCAAGTTTTCATATCTGCAGAGATTTTTTTTTTTAAATGAATATACTTTAGAGTTTATATTAGATTATTGCATGCTCCTCCTATGGGTTAAAATTAAATTTAAGTTCTTTAGAATAGTGGTAGTTTACAAAGCAGTATATTAAGTTTTGTCAGGATTTTGAGCAAAAGCAGTGCACACTCTTTAATCAGCTAAAAGTGGTACTAGTTAGGTGCCCTTTGTGACTTTGCAGAGTAAAGAAGAGGTGATGGCAGTGCGGCTCCGTGAGGCAGAGCGCATCGCAGCTGTGGCAGAGCTCCAGCAGCACATCGCTGAATTAGAAATCCAGGTAACGAGTGATGGCATTAAATGTCAGACTTGATACTGATTAGATTTTGTACTTTGTGAAGTTTTTTCTTCCTCTGCTGTGTTTCTTCATTAGCCTACTGTGAATACAAGACACTGCTTTGCCAAGTGGGATAATGCTGTATTGCTGATTTCCTGTACAAGCAAAGCCTTAAATCTAACTTGGGCAGATACCTGTGACCTGTTAATAATTCCTTTTGTACAAATACCTTGTTAAAGACAACACTTTATTTAACTCTGACTTCTGGGTTTTTTTTTTTCCCTTGTAAGTGGTGCTTCTTACCAATTAAGAGATGAGATTGTAAACATCCTCTATCCAAAAATAGATGCATACAATTTTGATTCCAACAACCATTTTTTTTTCTGTGCTTACTCTTCTGCTATGATCAGTATTGAAGGATTTATTGTAAAACTCTTTCTCCCTTCATGTAAATCTTGAAACCAGAAATATTTACTGCTACCTCGTCACTGTAGGATCTCAAGATGCATCCTTTGGCCTCTGTGTTGTTCCTTACACTTTCAGTTCCTTTTGGAACTTTCACTGTCCCATGAACTTGCAGCTCCCTTTATGAGAAAACCTGAGATTGCTGTGCTTTATATTTTCTTGGCTTTGGGAAATCATGATGTCTTACTGTAGTCTGACCTTTCTATAATCATGTACTGTTGCCCTGTCTGAATTCTGATGCAAAATTTTTCTTGGCTATTTTTACTAAGTTACGATCTAGTTGCTCTCTGGATTACTTTTTGTTAAACCTGGTGTTGCTATTGTGTTTCTTCCTTCTGAAATCTTTCCTTTGAGGTGATGATTTTATTATACAGTTTCAAAGTCACCTTTTCCCTATCATTTCTCAACTAGTTGTATCTTTTTCATCTCTTTGTATATGGAATGTGCACATAAATTTCATTGAGCTTGCATAAAGAATTTTTGTTATATTTCCTCTAATGCAGCAAGCACTAAACTTATTGAAAGTTAAAGCAATCATTTCTTTAAATCATATACTGCTTAGATAATGCTGTGATCTGTACATTAGAAATGCCTAGATAAGTATGGTAAGCATTGCATATGAATCATTTATCATCTAGTAAGATAACGAGAGAGTAGCTGAGTTAAGGTCAATCTTCTGCTCAAATTGACATTTTAAAAAAAGAGAGGGGAAGTTTAAAGGTTACTTCAAACAATGTGATTTAGTGGGTGAGCAGTGAGTACTCATTATACATTATTTTTATTTTAGCAGAGACTTCAAATGCCATGCTGCTTCCATTATTTGATAGATTCACATCTCTCAGAATGTAGTCAGTATGAACTGACTTATGAAATGGTGAATCCCCTCATGATCAGTTGGGAATTTTTGGATAGCTGGCATGCAATTCAAATTGTGTTCATTTTTTAGTGTAAATACATCTGACTTGGTTTTCTGTTGTTTAACTGATCAAACCATCCATGCTCCATCATTTTATTGCTCGCTCCTATTCCCATTCCATATTTCTGCTCAGTTTAGGGATCCCTAGATTGCATGTGGATTTTTATACCTTGTCATGAGACAGAAAGAACTGCAGGAATGTAATCTTTTTTATGATTCCAGCTAATACATCCAAAGGATCACACTGTTCCTGTTTTGTCATCATATTGCACGCTCTCAGGTTCAGTTGGTTATCCACATCATCTCTCCTTTCTTTTCACAAGTGCTACTTTGCACAATGCAATTCTTAGTTATGTTTTTATTATTATAGGGTTTTTTATTTCCTTCCAAAGTATATTTCAAGTCCCAGTCTTTATGGTATTCTCAGATTATCATCTGCTAATGATTTCTTGAGGTGGATCTCAGTAAAATTCTTGATTTTCTTCACAAAAGCGAGAGTGGCTGGGCTTTCTTTGTATACAGTGTGGAGTATGAAGTAATTTTGTGGCTGAGATTCATGTTCATTTGATGGGTTTGCACTGTTAGGTTTTTGGTGAGCATCTGATCTCAAACTTACACTAGCAGGAAAGATAATTTCTTGAATTGTGAAATACAGATTTTTGGTGTGAACTTGATAGTATTTAAAACAAATAATTTAGCAGAATTAAGTTCTGCTAATGTTTATTTATTTTTGACACTATAGACATTACTTGAACTGCTTTTATTGAACTGTGGTAGAGGTCTAGGTTTTTTAAAAAATCTAAGCATGTATTTTTCACCAGTGTGTTTTGCCAGCAAATATGAAACTTATGATCAGAACTTCCTTTTTGGGTACTCATGCTCAAAAGCCTTTGAAACACCTGCACCAAAAGAAATGTAATAATGGAGTTGGAAATCCTGAATTCCCAAAGCTTGTCAATCATAAAACATGCAATTGATAACAGGGTTTAACAAAAGTGAATTTTAAAGGAGATTGAAAATCTAGATAACTTCTTCATCACTGGAGAAAGAGCTGCCTCCCACTCTCTTCTGTTCAGCTTGTAATCAGGTGACAGCTGTAATTGCTGTCACCTGATGTGGGGAGCAGAGGCCCTTTTAATCAGAACTTGCCTTAATGACTTGAAATGCAATATTTAATACCAGAAATACATTTAGCCAGTCTTGGAGAATAGGCACCAGGATTAAAGTACAGATTCACAGTGCATCACAAATAGGTCTGCTTGTCAAGCTGTTTCAAAGCTGATAAAAATGAAGGGAGGAAGTTAACCTACCACATAACCTTCCCTTTTTTTTTTTTTTTTTGAGGGGGGTGGTGCTTTTCTAAGAAGTTCAAGGGATTCAGTGCAAGGTCCACATGGGCCATAGCAGCACTTAACCTAAATTGCAAGGTTTTCTTTTAAAAGTTTATGTAGGTGTAGGTGCAAGACGGTGATGTTAAATTTGTAATGCAGAGTATCACTACTCCCACATAAGAACTGATCTGACATCACACACACATGCTAGATTTAAATCACAGTTTCTGGGTCACTCTTAGTTTTGGTTAGTAACAATGACAGGGATGGAGAGTGAACTATCATTCAATAACAGATGTAATTCTGCAACAAGTTGTCAATTTATTATGTTGTTAAGAAGTTATTTCTTAATATATTCTAAATGTCACCTTGTCTTGTTTGAGCATTCAGTTCATGATGCTAAGCTTTTAAACTTTTGTGTAAGTATATTGAAATGCAACGAGTTGTCCAATACATGATGGATATTCTAGGTCTTTCTTTAGACTTTCTGTGCAAAAATAGCATGGAATTGAAGTATAACTGAAGTTTAACTTATGTTGCACATACCTAAGGCCCAGAAGTGACAAAGAAAAACCTTGGTGTTATAACCCTGTTATGTAGAAACAAAGGTTTACTTTGCCAGCATTTGTTTATTTGTTTACTTCTCTAGCATGTCTTTATTTTTCTCTCACTTGCCAGTTCAGCTTATGTTTGGGACGTAAACATAGAATCACAGAATGGCTTGGATTGCAAGGAATCTTGAACATCTTTTTTAACCTCCCTGCCATGGGCAGGACAGCTTTCCCTAGAGCAGGCTGCTTCACCATCTTCACACTGAACAGTTTCTTCCTTATATCCAATCTCAATCTACCCACTTTCAGTTTAAAGCCATTCCCTGTTGTCCTGTGACTATATGCCCTTGTCAGAATTCCCTCTGCAGCTCTCTTGTAGCCTCCTTAGGAAAGGGCTCCAAGGTCTCTGAAATGAGCATACATAGTTCCTTCTGGTTGCATATGGGCAGCTCTGCTGGTCCACTGATGTTGTTTTGGTTTTTTAAGTTTTTCCTGACAGTAATTGAAAGAAGAATAGAAAAATTCAGGCAAGGTTAAATCAGTTACAGGCTGCAGTCACTCAGCTGCCTAGGGTGAGGAGCAGTAGGCCAGTGGAAGTGCTGTAGCCTCTGCTTGGCAGCTTAATTCCTTTCCCTCCGTTTCTATGCAGGCCGGTGACTGTAGTATTCTCTTAAATGACCCGTGCCTGGGTTGTGTTGGGCAGCATAGAGCATACTTGTAATATGAAAAACTCGTTTTACATCTGAGTGATCTTATGCAAAAATTATCCATAAGAATTAATTCTTCTTTTGGTTAGGTTGATCTGGACAGACAGTAACATCGCTTCTTGCTGCTGTGTTTCCTGGCAGATTCACAGAATTGTGTCACATTTACCCTATCTCTAACCTGGTCAAAGCAGCTTGAGAACAACTGTAAAGGAAATCCATGATTGTGCTAGTAATCTCTCCACAGCTTAAACTTTTAGCACTATTTCTTTAGAATGAAGCCTTTCTGTGACCTCTGTTTAATAACTTTTCCAAGTACTGACTGTTCAGTAAAGAAATTGTTTCCATCTTTTCAAATTACAGGAAACCCTTTTTTTACTCTTATCAATAGTGGTGTGTGATGTTAGTGATGTGTTTTTTGAAAGTCTAGAATGAGTCACTGTAAAGTCACTGAAAGGACACTAGTTACCACATCTACCCTTCTGCATATACTTAATTTACATTTTTAATGCAGTGTCTTTTGCCACAAAGTAAGAATTTTAAAGCCTGAAAAGAGGCTGAGGCAAGTTGTTACCAAGTAAATATTTCTAAGTCAGAAAAGATCAAATTAAGGGTGTTAGGGAAACATCCTATCTTTGAGTAATTTTTAGTAAAGAGGTTACTGAGGAACAGACAGTTGTCTGGTGTGCCTGGAGTTGACTGCCTATGTAAATATTTTTTTCTGTGATTTTAAGTTCACAGTTATTAAAATGAAAACAACCCTAGATGTTTTCTTATTATTTAAAACAGCTTATTTTCTTATTGATGTATATTTCCTATTCAATGTGAAAATTGAGTGTTTTAGCAAAGTTGTACTCCTGTTAGGATGAAACACCTGCAACAGGAATTTGATTACACTGATCTTCTGTGTCTTAAACTTTGATCAAGCGGCAAAAGCCAGCTTTTTTTTCAGTGTTTTTTTCAGGGGCTTTCTGATGATTTATTTATTTGTTGTATAAGCCCTTTTTTATTATGAGTACCAAACTTGATTTTGGGAGGCTGTTATACAGTAATGGTTTCAGGTATTTTAAATCTGCATTTTTTAAGCACTCTGTCCCTGCACTCTTGTATTTCCAGCTATACATCCTGGCCTGATGCTAAATGAATTTGAAAGGTCTCCATATGTTCAGGAGTTCTCAGTAGCATCAGGTGGCTTTTTGAGACTAGCTGTTGCTTCTTGGCAAGATGCTTTTTTCTTAGAAAGCCAGACAAAAGAGCATTTGAGTGTGATATGAAAACCATGATTCTCAGCTGGTAGTTTTTTGTGGACAGAATTTTTTCTCATTTTAAGGAGAAATTTTTTGGAGTTTAGATTTTCCTTCTCAGGAGCTCTCAGTGTAGCTCTTGATATGCACACAAGTACAGTCACTCTGCTGCTTCACAGCAGGATGAGAGAGGTGAGAGCTTCCAAAACTGTGAAGGGGCCTGAGTTCTGTTTTAGCAGCGGGTTTTTTTGATCTGTAGAGCTCATTTCCTGCTTGGCTGCCCGTGCTACTCCCACTATATACACAGCCTCTGGGGCAGGGGGTTGGACTGTGGATTGCCTGAGTACCCTGCTACAAGCGCCCGTGTGGAGGGTGATGGCTGCCACAAGGTTTGTTACCCTGGGAAAGATTTCTAACCCTGGTGCTGCTGTTGGAGCTGGTCTGTCAGAAAAGACTAAAAAGGAGCAGTTAAAAGTCTTCAAAAGCAGTGAAATCAGAATGATGCTTCTTTAATTACGTGTAACACCAGTTGGCATTGCTGTGCTAAAAATCCTTCAGGCAGGAGGAGGTGGGCACTGCAGCGGTGCCGGTGCGCAGACGCAGCACGCCAGGGATGTGGGTGTAGAGATTCATTCACATGTGACTGCAGGAGGGTTGAAACAAATTCCTACATTCTAGAATTGACTAGCTGTCATTATTTTGCAATTCTGATAATACCCACACTTTGCTTATTTATACGTTCTCTGATTTTTTCTCTGTATATTAATTTTACATTTAAAATTACTATGATTTGCCTAGCAACCAGCTAGTTTTTGTGTTGTGACTTCTCCAAATATCACAGATTTGTTATAAGAGTGCTCCCCCTCACCCTCAACCACCAAAAAACCGAGCAAGCAACCCACATCCTATGTGAATAACTCTAGATTTAAACAATTTAACATGGAGATTACTAATTACTTATGCTGTTCTCTTTTAAAAGGTGTGACATTCAGACCTTAAAGACTGCTAAATTGTAAGTGGAGCCTTAACATTCAGTTTTGAACCCTTACTGTTGATTTGAGTGCTTTCCTCAGAGCTGCTCAAGCACAGTAGTCCAAAACTATTCAAGCACAGTATACAAGCAATGCAGAGTTAGATGTCCTGTTCCTACTAAAGTAAATGGCACAATAGGAAGCATTAAGTGAAATTGAGCTGCAAGAAAGCAATTTAATTTTTCTTATGTCAGTGCAGCTGTGTAGTAACTGTGTAGTATGGCTTCGCCTTGACTACTGTGTGCAGTCCTTGGCTCTGCTGTGTCAGAAGGATGTGAAGGTCCTTGAATGTGTCCAGAAGGAAATCAAGCTGGTGAAAGGGCTGAAAAGAAAGTCTGTGAGGAGTGGCTAAGGATTTTGGGCTCAACTTAGTTCAGAGACAAGGAAGCTGAGGGGTGGTGGTGTCAAGCTCCCCTAATGAAAAACAACTGTTAAAGAATATTACTGCCAAATTTAAGTTCCTCACATTCAAATTTGCCTTTGATAAATGAATGCTCATGCTAAGGTGGGAATTATTTGCATTAAGTTCAGATGATGTTCTAACATGAAATGTCAATGGAAGGTGAAACAATTTGGAAGATCATGGTAGTACTTTGTACTTGTATAAAAATGTATTTATTGATGAGAAATATCAGTCTCATTTCACAGTATTAAAGAATATTGGGTAACTTAATAATCATAATATGACAGGTAAAATTTTGAAGGACTTTTTTGTTCATTAGATAAAGGTAAGCTTTCAGCTGTCTACTTATTATTTATTCTCTAAATTAGATTATTTTGATAGAAATTAAAATATATTTTAATGCTGTGGTGTCTGACTCCTGCATGTTTTCCAGTAGTTTGCTGCCGCACTTGCATAAGAATCTTCAAAAGACAATGGCATGAGCAGCTTAGTATACTATACTTTTCTGTTGATCAGGGATGAGCAGCAGATGTAAAGAAGACTCTGATATCTTGTAGTAATTTTTTTCCTATGTCATCCTTCCAATTTATCCACTGTAGACAGACTGGTAGCCCATAGAACATGGGATTATTTAATTAGGAAGATGATTTTTTTATCAGCAAGTTAAAAGGATCAGCTTCTGATCACTTGTATTTTGAATGTTGCAAGAGGAAGTTACAGCATGACCTTTTTAAAAGTGTTTGTAGAAGATGCAGGGTTACTTTTTTTTGGTTTGTGAATTGCTAGCTCTACAAAATCTGTAGTTCTGAAAGGAAAACTGAAACTTACTTGCCTTTCAGTAATAATAGCCCCCTTACAGGCCAGGCTTATGCCTTCCATTCAGCTCTAACTGGCTGTAGCTACAGTCAGTTCTTCCGTGAGCAAATACACACAATTACTCTGTAATATCTGCATTGACTTTACAGTGTTATTCCTAGAATAAAAAGTAACCATAACACCACTTCAATGTAATGGAAATGTGGAATTCCCATATGATATATGCAAACAGCTTTCAGCTGTTTGTGTGCCAAACCCAATCTGCTGCATGTTTCTGCTTCTGCTGTTAGTTTATACAGTCTGACCTCGGCAGTGCCTGTTTCACAGCCCCTTGTGCACCCAGTTTCTACCTAAGCTCAGCTGTTTGTTACACTTCTGTTTTAGAAGGGCTGTGGCATCTCTCTTCTGCTTCTGCTAAAACTTTGCTTTACTGTTGCATTTTGATTGCAGGGTGCGTAGTGACATAGCAGACTCCATAGAGTAAGAGGCTTAAATGGGAAAATCAAAGTTTCAAACAGAGGGAAAGGACTTAATAATTTCTCCCATATATTCCTGCTACCTCAAGAGATCAGGTCGTGCTCGTTGTGTGGAATCTTAGTGTCTGACAGCAAGGAAGATTTTTTCATATGCTGATGTATTTTTTGTCTGCAGGTTATGTTGCTTTTGTTTCTTAGACCAGTAGTCATTCTCATAGAGAGAGATGATGGGGTTAGACCGCTTTTGGGTTTTTAAAATCAATTTAGGACAGGAACTATTGTTAATATTAATGCTACTTTTCTGTACATGTGTGAATTTGGCCATAGGTTACATTGGAAATTAGGTTCAGTATGGAAATAGGCATTGAAACATCTTGTTCTTGTTACAGATTTTGGGAGTTAATAGTGATTATGATAAAATTATTTTTAGAGTAATTTTGTAATGCATACCTCACTGCAAGAAAAACAAAACCTGAAAAAAAGTGATATGGCTTTGATATTGCCAATACTGACAGTGTTCTAGATTGTTCTCTTCACCCAGCAAAAGGGTTTGGAAGGTAGCATGTTATCTCTTCTCATAGTTTTGTCCTGGGGTTTATATTTCAGAAGGATGTTTTAAAGGAACCTCTCCATTAAAGCTTTTTGTCTTATCCTTTGATGAACAGTTAACACTTTTCATTCTAAAAGGTATTTAACCTCTCTTTGCTAATGACTTTCAATTTGGCTGTTGAAGTAAACTGTTTGCTTTCTTCAAGTGTAATTAAAACTTCAGCAAAATGAGCTATAGGTAGAAAAACAAGATATTCCCATTATATTTGTATTTCTGTAATATATTGCTCATATGTGATTTGCAGTCAAGGTTTTATATAGGGTTTTATAAAACCAAGATGCTTGCATTCTCTAGAACTGGTGGCTGCTTCAGAAATTATTTAGCTAGAAAAAGGCAAGAACAGAGTTGTTCTGCATTTTATTAGTAGCACGTAGAAGACATGGAGTGCGTTCCTCATCAGGGTGATTATTTATCTCAGATCTGCCAGGTTTGGTTCAGTCACATTAGGATTCCCTTTAGGGACAAGATGGAAACCAGTGCTGCAGTCATTCAGTGCAAGCCTTTTCAAGCATCCTGAAATGCAGGAGCTGCATTTGATTGACAAATGAGGGAAACATCATATTAATCTTAATCTATTGTTTCTGTTTGTTTTGTTTTTTACTTGGCAGCTTTTCTGTATGCCTCTTGAAGCATTGCTATTAGGGGACATTATTTATACTGTCTAGAACTCCTATGTGACAAATACCACAATATTTTGGATTTTACAGCTCTTCTTACAGGACAAAAGCAACTTGTCTTATACAGTGTTTCCTAGTGCATGTCCTACGAAGCAAGGAAAGAATTGTTTTGTTTAATTGGAGACAAAAGAAAATGTGTTGTTGCTAAAGGGTAGACTTTAGTGAAAATAAAATATGCTATGTTCCATGTATTGACAGTGTTCTATAGGAGTGGTTTACTAAAATGCAATCTCTTGTGCACAGGATGTGGATTCCACCTGTGAAGTTGTTAATTCTTCCTGCTCCTCCATAGAATCCTGCATTGTACTGTTGAGAGAGTCAGCTTGGTCTGAGCCACTGTCAGATAGCTGCTGGAGCTTCAACCAAATGAAAGTGCTGAGTGGTGTCTGGGAATAGCTTCTGTTTGTGACAAAAATAGGCAGACAGTTAAAATAAGATTTTTAATATAGTAGATCTTTGAATAATTTGAATATGATTCCTTTTTTTTACCAAAACAGAAAGAAGAAGGAAAAATTCAAGGGCAGCTTAATAAATCTGATTCTAACCAGTACATCAGAGAGCTGAAAGATCAGATAGCTGAGCTGCATCATGAGGTGAGTGATATTATACTACAGTCTCTGATCTCTTGTAACTTTTGTCCTTTCACCTGTGGCAGGTTTTGCTTATTTAATAGTTATTACATCTTCAGTACCTGTTTTTGTTGAAGTACATTATTTTAAATTAATGCAATAAAACTCTTATACAAGAATCTTGCCTTTATCTTGGAATGTAAGAGAACAAAACAGTGATTAGTTTTGTGATTTCACATTAAATGAGATTGGCAGTGCTCCATCTTGACTTTTTCCTTAATTTCATGAATTGATATATTCATGTTGCATTTACTCCATTTGGAACTGCATATATGAAAATAAGCCCCTTGATGTCTCTATTTGCTACAGCTGTTAAGGCCACTATAATTAGAAGCTAAACCTCACTTGTGCAAGTAGAAGAATTCATGTGTAAATTTTCTGGTTCTTGCTGTTGCAAGGATGAATTTTATGTGGTAGTATACTGAGATTGCTTAAAAAAAAAAAGAAGGATGCTTGCTTAACATCAGTTAACAGATTTTTAACTTTTAAACTGCCAAAACCTTCAATCTATGAAATGTCTGTCTTCAAACTTCCTTGCTCTAATAGTTGTAGTAACTTTCTGTTAGTTAAAAAGATCAGAAGATCTTGAAACCGAAATGGCTTATGTAACTCCTGTGCTCACTGGCTCATTTCAGTTCATGCTGCATGGTGAAGAAATGTCTTTACCCAATACTCCATCGTGTGCAAAATGCCTGCTCATCTTTGCATAGAGTCTCTTTCTAGCCTTTTCATACACAGCTCGGAGAATGTTGCTTAAAACCACAGGATTGAAAAGCAATTCGACCTAATTGTTTGTTGCCTTTTTGCTTTTATTAAATAAACACATCCTTTCTTTAAGTGTAGATAGTGTTTTCATAACAATCTGAGTAGATCCAAGCTTTTAGGATCAATCCCTTGAGACTTATAACACTCTTGAGGATCTTGGAATGTTGTCTCTGCTATAGATCACTATGCTATAGATGTGGGATAGTCTCTAGGGTCATCAGTCCAGCACCTTTACTAATCATTAAGCTCACTTAAAAACAGATTTCAAAATCGATAACCAGGCTTTCTCCATTAAAGCACTCTAATTAGTTTTCTTTGTTGCTTGCTTGAAGAATTCCCAGAAAGCTAGACATTTAGTGTATTTTTGCATTATGACCGAAATAAGGCACTGTACTGACTTTTTCCTCTGCTCACCGTAGGTTTAAAAGGTAAGAAACACTGCTTTGGGGGAAAAGTAGAATTATTCTTGGAAAGCTGTTGCATAATTTTCTCTATACAATCATCTGTTTCGTGCCTGGCTGAGCAACTGAATTGTCATGAAGTCAGGCAATATTGTACATCTGTAAATGTGTATACATTAATGTGAACAGGCTGGAAAGAAGATGAGAGAAGATGTTCATAAGCTGACAGAATAATGATAATTCTGAGTAATACCAGTGATTTCCTGGTTCAGTTCATTCTAGTCAAATCTTTATCAGCATTTCAATTTGGCAGAAAGGAAGTGCTGTGAAGAACATGAATTTCAACAATAGCAGAGTTTGAGTAATTTCATGTAGAAAGCACTCCTCTTCCCAGATATGTGCTTTGTGGTGACTAAATTTTTAATTTCCAAGCTAGAGAAACGCTATAGGAATGAAATCCTTCCAGGATATATAGGAACAGTAAGAAGAAATGGTTTGACTTGATGATTTTACAGATATTTTCTGACTAGTCATTCTATGATTTCATGAAACTCTGTATGTAACAGACGTGTGCTACCTTGGCAGCATTCTGCATGCTTTTTACACAGACTGTGTTCACGCCTGGAAGTCTTTGTTTACTAATTACTTATTTTTCCCTTTCCCCTTTATGGTTACCTATTTATTTGTCTAGTTTTTAAATCAAATCTTAAGAGGGAAAGCAATGTTTCCTCAAAAAGCAAAATCTGAAGAAAATGGCAACAGGAAGAGGCAAAAATGTTTGCTCTCAACTGCTAAATTTTAGAAGTATAATTCATTCAATGCTAGCTAAATAAACAACTTCCTTAAATCTGCACTGAAGTGTCCTCATGCATACATCCATTAATGGCCATGCTCTTTGTTTTTTGGCTAGCTGCTTTCTGATTCTACTTCTGCAAAAGCTAAAAGAAACGTTACACATTTGCAAATGCATCTTCCTGAAGATAGGGTGATGGTGTGTGTGACATGCTGACCACAATCTCCAACTGGTTACCTTGTAAAAGGCACTGGAAAAGGAACAGAGCTTTTGGGGACTCTATGGTTACCTTCTAATAAATTGTAATTGTGGAACTTTAAACTGCACATAAATGCAAATGAAATTAAAGCAAAACTTATCATTTAAGGTAGGGGTGGGACAGGTATGTGTGAAACAAGGTGAAATGTGTTGGCATGGCCATCAATGTTGATTCTGCAAATATAACTTTTTTCCCTCTCCAGCACTGCATTTTTACAGATTTTTACACCAAAAAAGTTGCAGGTTCTCCATCTGAAAGATGGAACAAAATAATGACCAAATTCTTTATTGAATACAAATAACTGCTGACTAAGTCCATATTCTGGCCTTTGGATAAACACTATTTTGTGCTTTTGGCCAGCAGTATGAATGTAAATGTTTCTGTGTCAGTGGAGCCTGGAGGAGCTAAATACTTTAATTCCATTCTGTGATATCATCCATCAGATGGCAATGATACCAAGTTTTGGCAACAACATGGTCCATCCTGATTGCAGAATTCTTGTGAAAGTTCTCCTGTTCCATCAGTGTTTGCAAGCCAGGCTAGTGGCCAGGCACAGGGAAATCTGGAATATCAGTGAGGAACACCAATAAGGACAGCAGAGAGTCACTATTACTGAGCAGTGTCTAAAGGTGAATTCTTCACTAAAAGGTGGGTTGAGAATGGGAGTTTTCTATGGTACAGGTGCAACAAGCTGCTGCTGTACTGTCTCTGAGCTTTCAGGGTGAGAAAAGTTTGGCCCTTAGTATTCAGATATTTCTCTCACTCATTCCAGTGTGATAACCTAAATCAGTTATGTGTTGGAACTCTGCATGTTGTATCAAATGATTAATCAATGGATTCAGATTACAAAGTTGGTTGGAAGTTTTTGTAAGTAAGAACAAAACTTCTGAAAAAATCAAAATAATTTTGGTCACCTTTCCTGAGCTCAAAATTTTGCATGCTTGTGAAGAATAATGCAGCTTGCAGCCAAAAGGATAAATTTCAGCTGCTTTTACTACTCACCTAGGAATAGTAATGCTGCAGTCGTCTTCAAATAACATTATAAAAATACTTATTTGCAGTAAATTCAAGTTGTGTTCCTGTTTCTGAATAAAACTACACATACTGGAAATTGGTATTATGGTACCCAAACCTTAACCGATGAGCCACACTGGTATTAAATGTACAAAGTAATTAAATAGAAAAAGATGCCTTTTTTCTTACCATTCAAACACTGTAAAATTACTATAAATGGAATTACTGGATTTTTGGCTTGTTCTAACAAGCTGCCTGCCTGATTCCTTTTTTACCAAACAGAGGATTTCTGTAGCATGGTAATCTGAGTTGAATATTAACTACTTCAGAGTAAGTATGAACACTTCAGGAGAACAGACAAAATTTGGAGCTTTGAGAACATTATAATTAGAAGTTGTCAACTTCTGCTCTACTAGGCTCTAGATTTCTGTAAACTTCTGCTTTACTGATGAACACTGCAGTGTTAGGTTAATGGTTGGACTCTGCAGAGGCTTTTTCCAACCTTTCCAATTCTATGCTTCTATGCATATTGTCTTAAATCTGTTTACGTGCACCTCTTTCTTTGCACTGATTTGAACAACCAATTATGGGTTAGAATATAAATATTAAGTATAATTCGTAATGTTATGTAAAATAGTGCATTAATTCTTAAATTCCTCAGAGAAACCATAACTCCATTCAGAAATCAAGTACATGTAGATCAATTATTATTTACTTGCATTTTGAATTAGTAAACATATCTGGTTTTATATTCATTCCCTAGAAAGCTACTGACAGCTATCCTGTAATCTTTTACACAACTTATCAGTATTCAAAGAACAGCTGATGCATACTGAAAGGACACTCAGATTGAAGTATTTCTAGTTAGCCAGTAGCTAATCCTGTGATCAGTCATGTATGTCAAGTGCTGTACTTCCTTTCCTCCTTATTGGCTAAGTTTGTGATTTATTTGGCACAAAGTTGTTAGGTGGTTGTGACTTATGACTTTATTGTTGAAGGTTGAAGCTATTGTGAAAACCTGAAATGATCAAGGATCATCACAAACGTGACATCATGATGTAAACGTCTTTGAGAGCTTTCAATATGTCCTTGCCTTAGACGCTCTGCCTTCTCAGATTCTTGTGTTGAGTTGCCATTTGTTCTTTTCATTAACTGAAGGCTTTCCACCTAGCATTTGCTTTCTTGTTTCTTTTCCCTCCCATTCTTAAAGCTATCTCTGCAGCATTCTTGGCTTCTAGCTTAGTGGGATTTTAACTTTGTCAATGTGCAGCTCCTGCAGGCTGCAGCTTCTGTGAAGCAGCTTTTGTTACTCTTGTCAGTAAGTACAGAAGCTTGGCTGCCCTGTGTTTGCTACAGGAGAAATAAGGTGTAGTGATCAGTCTGTTCTGTCACTTGACCTCCCAGTTCTTGTGCTTTAACTGATGTAATGTAAATGGCCTGAGCACACAGACCCTTTAAGGTTGTCCTGTACTTAGATACTTTCAGGCTGCCCCAGGAATGCTAACATTTCACAGAAGTTGCCTTTGATTAGATACAGAAATGTTGTGTGAAAGCAACTTCTGTGAAACATTTTTACTGTTCAAGAGAACAGATCACTAAGTAGGTAGTACTGAAGTAAAGCTGTTAAACTATGTGGAAATAAATACATTGGAAGTTTGGCCTGTTACAAGTTTCCATTAAGTAAATTTGAATGCTTAAGAAAAACTATGATTATTGAAAAAGCTGTTACTCT